AATCAAAACTTTGCATCTGACTTTTATTTCTGATATTTAAAAAACTTTGGCGTCACCAGCTCATTAGAAACAAATTTCCATGACATTTCTGAAACCTCTGGGACATGTATTGGACACATTTTTTCCAGATTCTGACACCATGATATTTCCTATGACTGTAAGAACTGTGGCCATGATATTAACATTACCTCTGGATGACCAGTGCTCTGCGGTACAGGACATCGGGCGTGTTGCCCTGCAGACGGGGGTAGCGCACCAGGTTAGAGGACTGGAAAACATCAGCGTTCAGACCCAGGTCTCTCTCACATGATGACTTGATCTTTAAGCCTCGAATCCGGACGTCTATCCCCTCGTCTTTAGAGGAGTGAAAAAACATTGTTTTGCAGCCAAATAACTCCACAAAATGTATGGAAGTATTTAAAAATCACAGGAAATATCTGTTTAAATAAACACAGTAGCATGCTAACAAAGCTTTACCTCTACATTCCTCAATCCGAACTTCAATCACAGGCAGGTGAGAAGTCATATCCTCCAGCACACACACTTCTCCAATCAAGTTGCTACAGACAAAAAAGAGCAGAGGTGGTTTAAAGCAACTGTAGTCAAACAGTCTATGAAATACAGATATCTCTGTTATTTCTCAGCTTGCTACAGATTAAATGGCTCAGTGTGGCAGGCACATATGCTTCATAATAACAAAGTGCACTAAGAGATGCTCTTTTTTTTCCTCTACGTTCTCATTTAATGCACTAGAAAATATCAAAGATAGTTAATTATATAATTTCCACGATCACAGACAATGTGTGGGTCATCCTGCCTTTAAAAGCTGCTTAAAATATGAAATGCTGACACAAAACATTGTCAGACAATGGCTTAAATACAATACTAGACTTATGAGTTTTCTTTCTAAAGCTCAAGTGCTGCAATCAGAAGCATATCTGTGAAATCTGAGGAGTTTTTTGTGAAAAATATTGACAAAATCCTTTTAAAAAGGCTCACTCGTCTATGGTGACATCACTCAGCTTCTTCAGGTTGTCTCCCTCTCCTCCAAACACTGTGACTCGCTTAGGCATGTAGTTGTCATCTGTAGAGTCCACCGTCAGTATCAGCTTACTAAAGAGCAAAAAGAAGCACGTTATATACAATCAAGACACAATTTACCTGCAAGATAACAGTCCATCTGAGATACAAGCATGAAATATGTCATGGATGAAAGACCATGAATTATTAATACAGCAAATTTTGGGTCTGGTATCACATAGACTGGCGTATTTTAATAAGTATCAAAACAAAAGTTTTATCTAACATGTGTCATTAGAGGAAAAACAGGATTGATCAGAGTCAATCAAAATAAAAACATTGCTTCCTTTTGTAAAATGACAAATACAAGTCAACAAACTGCATTTCAGATTAAATTGTCAGGACCAGAATCATCCAGCAGAATCAAACATTGTTGCCTCTCATATGACTCATTTGATTGTAATCTGGTTTATTGTCACTTCAGTTCAGCATCCCTGTGTGGATTAATAAATGACTGTGTGAATGAGCAGGTTAGTGCTTGCCCATGGCGTCAGTTCCTACTCATAGAACAACATAACACATATAATATCCCAAATATAAGCTAAAACATGTAGCTGACATCGAGACATTAGTGTCAAAAATATTAAAAACAGTAAGTTCAGGGTCTAAATTACAATAAATAATGATAATAGTAAAATGTTAAAGGTGCCATTTGTTTCTTGTCCCTGGTCACTTTGTTCAGAAGCTTCCTTACTTGACCACGGTGCCTCTCTTCATGTGCAGGCGAATCCAGTGTTGTCCCTGCATGCCATCGCTTTCCCAGTATGTTTCAGTATCACCATCTGTCAGACAACTCGCCCCTCCGCTCGGATCCTCCTGTCATGTATAAAATCATTAATTGTCTGACTTTTACAGAGTCAATGTAACAATTGTTCTGTACAATTACCATCGAATCTGTGAAAACATCAAGGTGAAAAGGCATATGATAAAAAGACTGAATGCTCTCTTGCCTTCAAAACTCAGCTTCATTCTGATACCTTTGTCCTGACTAGAAAATTACCCTGGTTTTCAGAAGAAAAACAAAGTAATACAAAAAGCTAAGTGTGTGTGACTCACCGAACATGAAGAAACATCGATGCTAGTCACGCACTGCTTCACACTCCCAAGATTCTCATCCTCTTTCCCTATGTGGTCATAGAAGTAGTGCACCAGGTCCTCATCACATTCATATGTCCAGGTGGGAGGAACAAACCTTAAAGATGTGAGGGAACAACGGCTTAATCTGACAAGTCTGAAAACAACCCAAAAAGTATCGACTCTATGTGATTCGGCACAAACATGCTCACCTTAGCTTCTGGACGGCAGCGTCATCACTCTCAGCAATTTTGGGTTTGGAGCCGATGTAAAGCGCATTATCCACACTCACTACCTGCTCCCACCTGTTGCAAGGCTTGTGGTCATAGCCGAAGAGCTGCTGTTGTCTGCTGATGGTCTCCGGCGACTCCACAGGCACCAGCCTGTCGCCTCCCTCTGTATGTTTACACACCAGGATCCAGCCTTCCTCCAACTCCTGGCCTGGACGGTGCTCCTCCAGCTGCTCCTGGACACAGACGTGGAATGGTATGTCAACATGTGTTTTCCCACCACATTTAAAATCATCAAAACTGGAGTAACAGCTCATAAAAGCATCCTAGCGTAAGAGGGACAAGTAGGGTTGTGACATGTGTTGTCCCTTTAACAAAATTCTTGGGTGTCATATTGGAATTTTCATTTTCAGTTGATATTTTAAAGTTTTCCAAACATCAATATAAGGTAAGTCTGACTCCGTAATTATCAATATCACACCACATTGTCTGTATTGTGTAACCTACGTAAATAAATTGTATATTTTGCTACACTGTGACACTGAAAATCTGCTTTTATGTGGACTGTAACCTAACTAGCATATATTTGGGTTCTGGGATGAAGCCTGGAAACGTGGAAGGAAACCTGGGCAGACACGAGGACAACTTGCAAACTCGACACAGAAAGACTCAAGCGTGTCAGTTCAGCCGGACCTCCTTGCTATGAGATGAACTGTATAACTTAAATGATAGAAAATGTCCAAACATTTACTACAGTTTAAAAAAAGTCATACCAAAGCATGTTTGTAGCTAAAATTCTCTTTAAAAAAACAAAGTACAAACACTCTGATTCCATAACTGTCTGCTGTCTGGAATGATGTGATTACAAAGTTGAAAATTATGAATTTTTAGTACATATTACAGACACCCATTGGAACAGAGAGTCAATGAAATGTAGTGCTGTTAGTAGAGTGGAGTTATGACAGCTCTTCCAGCAGAATTAGATTAGTTACAGTGGTATAATGGATCTGGCATCACTGTTCACAGTACAGTGACTGTAACCCGGAGAGAGACAGAAGCCCACCTTGTTGATTTTGACCCACAGACCCTGGCTGTTGCAGTATTCCTCTCCTGTTGTCCGGATACAAGTCCCTTTCTTTGGTTCTAAGTTGTATTTGCATGATTTCTTAGCGTGTGGAGTCTGGTGTGGACTCTCATAGACGGAGACGAGCGTTTTCCCGACGGAGGAGCCTCCTGTGGATGCCCCGGTGGAGGAGGAGGAGGTGGACGATGAATCCTTGCAGATCTTGTAGCACACCTCTTTGGGCACATAACACAGACACTCCGGTACCGACTCGCCCCTCTTGAAACACTCAATGCACCTGTTCAGGAAGCGGATCCTGCCGAGCAGCAGGTGAGGGTTGTCGCCCAGGGACATGATGATTGTAACGGTGATGGAGGTGAGAGTCAGCAGCTCAGCAGCAGGGGGGCGTCAGCTGACATTACACCACTGTCCTCACTTTTGTTTTCCTGCCTGGCCGCGCGGGGATGCTCCTGTCACAACAAACCAAACAAAACCGAATATTCTTGAGGAACAGAGCATTCAGTAAATACCAGCCAACTTCTGTGATTTAATTTGACCCCCCGCCCTCAATCACAGGGTGTGTACAGAGTCTAAAAGGTTAACAAAAATCCGCGAATCAGCGACCAAAGTCCGCTGACACAGTAAGAAAAGTATCGGCTCCTTCTAAACCACAGTGAGTAAGCTAACATGAGCAAGCTAGCTAGGTAAATTAGTGTCTCCTGGGATGCTTCCGATAGCTGTAATAAACAAAACCACGTCCATTTAAACCAGAAGTTAAAGATATAAAATGTTTCGTGAGCTAAAAGGCAGAACAATGTCTACAAACAGCATTAACGTACCGTTACTGCCGAGTAGTGTTTAAATGTGCAACTCGTCTATCGCTTTTTGACAACGCGGAAGCGCATTAGAGACTTTTGACCCTCTCCAACTTCCGTCGTTTGTACTTCAAAATAAAAGTCTCAACACGGAAGTAGCTAATGCCTCATTCATTCCCATTCCGCATGTTTATAACCGCATTGTAATATTTGACAGTTTTGTACACAGTTAACCTGTGCGTTAAGGCTGGATTTCGCCCATTTGAAAATTGCTGTAATCTGAGTGTAAAGAATACACTACACATTTTTTCTTATGCTCTTTTCTGTACAGGCCACGTGGAGTTAAATTAAAACATCCTACCCTGTACTTTATATACTCAAGTTTTTAAGCACAGCTTTAAAGAACTTGTACTTTATTTGAGTATTTTCATTTCATGCCGTTTTTCTATATACTAATACTTTACTAAATTTCAAATAAATAATTGTTACAATACCTTACAATACACTCCACTACAAATATGTCAGCCACAGTTACTTGCAAATAAAAATGTATTCATACAACTCTGATAATCTTATAAAATATGATGCATAATTGCAGATTAAAGCAACCAATAGAATATAAAATCAACCACCAGCTACAACAATAAAGTGCTGCTTGATTAATGCATCACTAATGATAATCCAGGAATATAAAATATAATAAGGTATGCACTAAAAGCTGCATAAAGAGAACTTTTATTTTTGATACTTAGTTTATTTATTTTGTAGAAAAAACATTTTAAACACTTTTATTTAATAGAGTATTTTGTGACATTACCACTGTTAGCCTACTAAAACAAAGATTTATTATTATTATTATTATTATTATTATTATTATTATTACATATTATTATTTCTTTCACCCTTGTATACAGACTGTACTGTATAATACATATAAAACAAGGTTATGTTACACCAGTGTATCTGCTGTTATGTCTGAGAGGACTTCTGTGTTTATGACATGTGCTTGGCTGATACAGGGGATGAAAATTTAAGAGAATAAATCATGAAGGATAACATGTAGGATACATGTGAATTACTGAACAAGACAGGTAAAAGAATATTTTAAAGCACTCAAAAAGAAATGTTTGTTCTCTCGCTATGAATCAATGATCAAGATCCCATGTTTAGCCTATTATCATAAAAGAAAAGTTAAAGCATTGGATAATTACATTAATTTTCAAACATACAATATTAATAAGACTTATTATGTTTATTTCACAAATTGATTGAGTTGAGACAAATCACCAAATCACACCATTAAAAACTTTCTTGTTTCAAAAACACACAATGTGTTTAAGTATCAGATTCATTTTCACTAGTTGTACTCCACTGCAACTTTGATGAGTGCATTTTCTTGTTCTTTGTGGTTGCTGGTGTTGGTGTCACCCTCAGGGGAAGTATCAGAATCATCTTCCTCATTTGGGTGTGGTGAGACCATAGGTGAGACATCCATCAGAGACGGCAGGCTCACACCTCTCAGGATACCTTTGCCTCTCTGCAGAAGACTGTCGAGACCGTCGCCCAGAGAGCCTGTAAGAGTTAAATACTGTTTCTTTCCAGGAGTGTCTGCAGGCTGGTGAATCTCAAGATCCTCTGCACTCATCCTGCAAATATGTATAATAATATATATATATAAATGACATTTTGTTTGTGATTTTACTCGACTGTGAAGCAGCAATAAAATGCACTGAAACATAAAAGGTAAAATGAGTTGACCTCATGTCAAAAGTGGAGCCTTTGAAGGCCGGTCTGAGAGTCTCTGCTGCTGTTGACAGAGTGTAAGGGATGGAGAAATGTCTCTGCGCCCAGTGCTTGTCCTTCACAATTGGAGCCAGGTTCTGATACATATCATCTACAGCCAGCATTGACACCTACAGAAACAGAGAGAAGAGACAGTAAACAGTCAGCACTTATTTTACGTGTTGAGACTGGCTATATTAGGGAGAATCCTTGAGGGGAACAACCTGAATGTTTCTGTCAATCAGCTGGTTGGTTTCAAAGTCATCATCGTCCTCACCGAATGGATTGATGATCAGCTCCCCCACCTACAGAGTGGAGACATGTCATGAAATTGCAAATCTAAACACTATCTGTTTTCTACAAGTGAAACATGAATGTGTCATCTCACCTTGAGCCAGCCAGCATAGAAGAAGAACTGCAGCAGGGTGAAAACAGGGATGTACATGTCCAGCTTGTGATCCTTGTATCCTTTCTCAGGGTTCAGAAATTGTCGACCAATCACACAAAAGGCAAAATAAGAGTAAACTGCTAAGGTAACCACCTACATGGGTTGGAAAAAAAAACAGTGGTCAGCTTTATAATGAATTTTGTATTCATTTTGTATGAAAGTGGTAAAGTTTGACTGTATTTCGAATTAAGACTCAAGATAAAGATGATAAATAGCCATCAAATGAAGTAAAATACAATTTGTTGATGATAGTTTTGTCTTGTAACCCCTGCTTGCTCCTGATCCTACCTGGGTGTAGACCAGGGGGATGCTTATCCAGTCATAGTGGAACAGGAGGCTACACTTGGCTCTGTAGTTATTCAGCTCCTGCAGGTATAAATACATATTATACATTTATAAAGAATACGCCGACACACTGAGGCTGCAGATAACACATTTAAGATTACAAGTGAATTTTCTCATTTTTCATTCCTGCATTGTTTATATAGTAGGCCTAAGTGTAAAACCCACTCACATCCATCAGCAGTCTCAAAGCAATGTCGTCCCTCACTCGACCCTCCTCTCTGGCTCTGGATGCCAGGTTTGTGAACCAAGTCAAAGGCATCCAGTACTTGTTGAAATCAGAGTGTAGAGACTCAAACTTCTTCAGCTCATGTGTGGTCATAAAGCCTGCACAGAGATAAGACAGTTGGTAACAGATGTAAAAGATATTTGTGATCCAAGGTGTTTTATAAAACATTAGATAAGCGAACGTCAACAGAGTTTATAGTCCACAAACAATCAAAACATCTCTATAAAGCAATATCATAACTGAAGTCAGGCACTCTGCCAACTATTTACCTAGTGGGGGAAAAGATTCAAACATTTTTATTAAGAAACAGTACATATTTTAATGGAGTATAATAAAAGATGCTTAAAAGACTTATTTTAAGATGGATGGGGTGTAAAATGGAGATCTCTGGGAAGTTCTTTTTTTAATCTAAATGCATATTTGTGCATATTTACATCTGTAAATATGCAGAGCCTTTTCTGTTAGGTGCCATAATGTATGAAAATGAGATAAGATAAGATAAGATAAGATAAGATAAGATAAGATAAGAAAGATCAGAAAAGTCATTGAGTGATGAATAAAAATGAAGTAGATAAAAACATGGGAAAAACCACAGAGCAGATAGAATGAAAAGTAAAATATGTTTATCCTCTCATAATTTTAGTATACTTGGTATTACTAGGCAATTTAACTTTGTTTTAAAAATCTAAAACAATCAATTTATGGGCATCCCCTCAGTGTTTTGTGCTAAATTTACCCTGATCTTAATAGCAACTGCTTCTTCTTTTTTTGCTCAGTAACTTCTGTTATGTCTCATATTTTATTAACCAGCAAAACCATTTTATACAAATTAACTAATAATAACTTCAGGTTTTAGAGAACTAAAGTGCAGTAAAAATAGCAACACTTTATTTTCAGATATCTGAGGTGACAGTAAAAAGTATATTGAGGTAGTGTTTTACTTTAATACTGCAGTAAATGCTTTTAATTCCTGTCCACTGTTGTTCTTACCAGCCTCCACTACGTGCTCCAAAGTTGGGAAACGCTTACGAACTCTTGTGCTGATGGAGCGGAGGATAAGAACTGAGGATAAGTTGGCATATCTCATGAGTGTCCGTCGCAGCAGACGACCCCTCTCGTCTGCCCCATGGACGTTCCCAGACACCACCATCATCAGGTTATCAGGCAGCGGGAAGCTGGTGTACTGACCCCACCAGCGGTTAAAGGCCAGGGTCACATAGAAACCTGGGACAGAAAAATAAAGGAATTATTATCTTCAGATTTGGCTTGTGTAAGCAGGAGCCAGTTCAATCAGACTCACCCAGTACAAATAAAACTGGGATGAAGTTGGAGTTGGTGAAGTTGTCACAGTAAAGGGCGATACGCTCAAACAGGTCCTGCTGCCTTGGTGTGAGGAGGAACCTGTGAGGAAAATAAAAACTTCCACTGTTGAGCCACAAACACTTGATTATATGGGAGCTCATTCCTGCCAGTGTAATAAGGAAAAGAAATCCCTGAAGTCATTCTAAAGGGAAACTTCTTCGAAATAATGAGTTTGTATGTCAAAATAATGAGAAACTTTATTAAAATAATGACTTAGGCCCCGATCAGACAGCACTTTTTGAAGCTTGCTGTGCCGTTTCAATTTTTTTTTTTTATTGTTACTTGGCAACCACTGAATCACTTGTCCTTCCTTAACCTCTATTTTCCAGTGAAGTAAACTCTCACACCTTAGAATTTGCAAAGAAAATGGACGTGGGAAGGGCACTGGGGACTGTACACATGGAAACAGACATCCTTGACACCCTCAGAAAGTGGAGAAATGCTGGTCCAGGAGCTTCGCCTGGATTGTCAATTCAAAGCTTATTTTAGAGTGAGTTGGGGACAGTTTAACAACCTGTCAATCGTCAAGCCTAGTTACGCTTTGTAAAATGTTAGAAAGTAGTTAGGGTCACAGTTTTGTAGGAGATGTCTTGCAGCTTGCCTCGGGTGACTGTTAAAGTGAGCTAACGCTAGCTTAACACAAACCATGTGTGCTACCACTTGTTGTCATCACCACCACCACAGATGGCCTGACTTTCAGTTAATCTGATTGTGCAACATGAAAATAAAGGCAATGACATCAGGGGCTTTTGTGCTCTGAGTTGTTTTTTCAACATGATGTGTTCAGGATGCTTTTACAAAAACGCCAGGTGCATAAATGGGAAAAAAGTGAGGTGCTCAGCATTGTAAAAGCAGGCTGCTAAAATGTACATCTGATTGGAAGATTTGTCAGCATCTCAAAATAATGACTTGGTGTCTCAAAAATAATGGAAAGCTTTCTCAAAATTTTGACATATTAAGTTATTATTTTAACAAAGTTTGTCATAATGACATCCAGGACTTTTTTTCATCACTCTGGCTGAAATGGGCTTCCATACATTCATACTGTAGTAATCACTAAATGATGAAAGCGGTCACTTTACCTGTAAAACACACTGAAAAACAGATAAACTGCACAGAACACCAGGAAGTCTTTGTAAAGTAGCCTGTAGATACTTCCCTTCCACCTGAACAGCAGCTTTGAGAAGCCACCAAATCGAGCATCGGCCACTTCAACGGTGTAAGAAACTGTCATGTCTGGGTTTATTCTGTGTTGTAACAACAACAACAAAAAAATCCTGTAAAATATAAATGTGTGATACACATCGTAATATTAATTTTATTTACATCCATTTCCCATAAAAACATATCTAAAAATGTGTCTCACCTATGAAGGCAGGTGTATCATCTGATCAGGTGTCGAGTCCTGCTGTCCTGGGAAGAAAGGTTCTTCCTCTGGGTGTCAATTTAAACCTTTCTGTTGTGCTGTCATAAATTAACATCTTAAATTTATTACCTGGGAACCTGAAACCCAGCAGATACACACCTACAGTTACTGAATGCGTGGAGACAACCTCTTATTAAAATATGTTGTGATGGTGCAGACTTTTACATTTGATCATTACACTGGTTTAGGTGTTACCAATTTAGAAACTGTAAAGCTCACAGCAAATTCCCCAGTGTTTAAAAGTATTGATTATTGTTCAGTGACAAGTCTTTGGAGTTGATAAATGCTGATTATAGAGTTTGTGTTTTCTCACAGAGCTGATGTGTCTCTGTCCATGTTTAATTATTAATTTAACCCTGATTCATTGGCAGATTATTTTCATAAATTAATCAGTAAATTTGTTCAACAAAATGTCAGAAAATGAAGACAAATTGCTCATCACAAAATGACCTCAGAAATGTTAAAAATGACAGAAATCTTATAAAGAATAATTGAAATAACAACAATAATAATATTAAATACATTTATTTATACAGTATATCGATTAAGACGTTCATACAGAACATGCAACATTCTGTACAGTACATATTTCATACATACAACCAACCTACATACACACATTAATACACAAACTGAATAATGTTATGATAAAAACATTTACATAAGCAATGTTAAAGAGGAATTTAAAGAGGTTATAAATAGCTGCAGATTTATTTTCTGTCAATTTAATAATTGATTGTTACATTCAGTTGCTTGTTTCAGTCCCGAGCAACTGGGACCTGATTTTTATGCTCTCATAGGCTGAAAAAATAATAATAATAGAAATATACTTCCTTTATATAGGCATTAAGAAAAAGAGACCAACATTTTATTTTATGTAGATCTCCTTGAAGAAATAGGAACCAGGAACTCATTTCTTTAAAAGCCTTTAAACTCATTTCCTTTGAAGGTTGTGATCAACAGTGTCATGGTTTTATGCAGTCATTTTAAAGAATTTAAATAATTGTAATAGTTATTTTAAATCATATATTTCTGTTATTTTATGAATCGTATTTTTACTGTTTTAAGCTTATGTGCTCTATGAATCTATGAATTGATTATTCTCTTTATGATTTATAATAAACATTGTTAGTCTGTTTTATATGTTTAATGATCTATGTGGTGCTGAGTATGTGAAAGAGTTTGTTTTTTTCAGCAATATCTTTATTAATATTTTAAAATAACTTCCAACAACAAGGAAGAAAATGTGTTTTCATCCTGCGTGAGGAAGAATATCAGAGACAAACACATTATTGTCCAACATTAAAATTAGGCCTTCCCTTAGGCTACATGTCTGGCATTTTAATGAAAACAATAATAACTAACAATAAAAAAGGGAACCAAGGAAAGAGTTTTAACCCCTTCTGTGTTTAAATAAAGTTGTATTTATAATTAGAAGTTGAAAAACACAGTAGTTTGTGAGCATTCACATGGTTTCTGTTAGCATATCTTTTCCAGATGCTACACAATTCAACTCAGTACTTTGGACCTGTTATCTGAGTGAATTGAATGCCCGCCAAATCAAATAAAACATACACACACACACACACACACACACACACACACACACACAGACTGATTTGCACAGCAGAGGCCCTACAGTGTTATTTACAGTTCTGGCCATCGGTGATTAACAGCAAACATCTTTACAGTGTCAGACGAGTCCACCCCACACATCTCTCGCCCTTTTGTCATTGGCCGCTCTTCTCTGCTCACTTGTTTGTTTTTCACATCGTTACAGCAGTCTATTGTAAATCTGAGTCTGTTTTATCCTCTCACCCTGTTTGCTCTCCCCCTGACAGGGTATTTATGAGACCATTCATCCTCCATCACAGCGTGGAAGAGTGATCACTTTGGACTTCCCTATTATTTGTCTGTATCTGTGTCACTCGCTCAGCTGCACTTATGAGCCTCACAGTGTCTATATCTTTGACTTATTACATTTATTACCAATACATTCAAGCATTCATAGCAATAGTAGTACTCTCAGTGTGTTTTGTTTGGCTGATTTATGGTAGTTTCCATTCCTGTCACTAGATGGCGCAGTTGTGATGTACAGTAGAGCTCTCAGCCTCAGCCCTGAGGCCTCACTGCCTGTATTTATCTCATAAACAAAGACAACCTAAACGCTCTTTTATTGACAGAAAACATTAAAAGGACACCTGACATATTCAAAACCATGTCAGTGGGCTCACTTATAATGCTCCTGATCTATGACAGTACAGATCAGCTGTTTGCACTCCACACTTTCTGAGATTTATCCGTCACATGAGTCTGTAAAGTACATTATTTTGATTTCCTGTTTATATTAATTCTGATTTTTGTGTTTAAATATGCAGTAGAATATAAACTTAGTACATTTACTCAAGTACTGTAATATAAATCATCCTGAAATGCGTCATTCTGCATAGTAAGTACTTTTACTTTTGGTACTTTAAATATATTTTAATGGTAATACTTATGCTCTTTCACTTAAGTAAGATTTGAATGCAGGACTTTAACTGTTACTTTTGCTTAAGTAAAAGATCTGATCTTCCACCACTGTAAATATGGCTCAGTATATTTTCAAAACTATCTGACCAGGACTTTCCACTTTATTTTTGGGGTCTTCATCCTGTGTAAATCTCGAGTCAGTGGTTGCTCTGGGATCTTGATCTAGATTAAATAAACTCCCAGATCAGCATCCATAAATACTCCAGCAACTGTTCTCTGCCCAGTCATTTCCTGGCCTCGGCTGCTGGATCTACTGGTCGTGGGTCAGACCTCTGAGAACAGGACAGACTGATCGTATGGGTAACCCAATGCGGTAATTACAACTTCCCACGGTGAGTGAAATTAGAGCTCAAAAGAAAAGTGGGATTTCAGGTATCTGGGGCCGGCCTGGGTCATTGTCGGGGCAGAAAGAGCTTACAGGGCCACGGAAAATGAAGCTTGGATGAAAAGATCTGGAGCATGCTCTCACAAAATGCAGCAGACTAATGACACTGTTTTACTTTCCTCTTTTGTTTCTAATGTTTGTCATCATCATCATCATCATCATCATCATCATCATCATCATACACAATCCTGACACAGAAATCTTAAAAAGCATTTTATTTGTCTTTCATTATCAGAATGTTTTGCATACAAAAAACAATCAAGATAGTGCATCTGGCTGTATAAACATGATAAAAATCAGTGCCTTTATTACAAATCATACCAGTATACCCATCTTGTTTTAACAGAGGATTATTAATTAATGCTAGTTTATGTTATTTAGCAGCTGTTAGCACAGCAGTTTTACAATCAAACACTCCACTGAGGATAATTTTACTTCAAACTTCAAATACTGAGGTCATGGGCCTTATCACTCTCAGAGAGTTTTGATCATAGACCTCTAAAAAGTCAATTAATTTGGATTCTTTATTTTTTATTTATGTATTTCAAAGATATTTTCTGTAAATTTCCCAACATGAAGGTCTAATTGCTTTTTCAAAGCCTTTTCCATACTGACAGGACTGAAATCCTCTCTCCATCTAAACAATGACTGGTCATTTATGCATTATTTGCTGCCTGAAAACAAGTCAAATCAAAATATATTGAGTCTAAAAGACTCAGTTGACTGTTGGTGAAACCCATCCCGCCAACAGCCCAGTAGCTTAGCAACCATAAGTACAGCAGGCCTTTCAAATATGACACTGTAGCATGAATGATACTCATTATCTAAAGAGCCTGGAAGTTTGGAAGAAGTTCTTTTTCTTTTAGCCATTCCAAAGCCAAAAGCACAATCGTTCAGTCGTTTCAGTCGTTAGCATGTAAAAACTGCACCATCAGTGACATGTTTTGGTCACCTGGCACAACTCTGTAGGCAAATGAATGGGGTGCTCTGGGTGTTGGCGGCACAGGGGGAAGCCAAACACTGCTCATCTGCACAGACTGCGATGACACAGAGCTGGATGAAAACTGACTTTATCCTTTAACTGCTTATGTGCAGTCTGAGAGGCATATGAACAATAATTAGAGATAGAGAAAATAAATAAAGCACAGGTTGCTAAAAATAAAAGAAGAAAGACTTGACCTCAGCAACCAGTCCATACAGCCCTGTTAACAATTAAATTTATGCTATTTTTCTGTGTACAAAATTACAAAATGCAACATTTACTCATTTATCTGCTCGTCTTTTGACCTTAAGGCTTCTGGCAGTGAACCTTACAATGTTGATAAATAAAGCTGTGATGGAAAATATGTAAAAACCCTTCGGAAAATACATCTCTGTTCTTTTAAATTCCAGGAAGCTCCACACCCTCATAGCTGCACCCACTGTCTCTCTCTCTGCGTCTGTCTCACTGAACAAGAACCAATTAGCATTTGTGTGAGGGTGAGACGTCCGTCTGTTTTCCACATCTTAGATAAGAATAGCATGTCTGTGTCCTGCACCTCCATGATGACCCTCATGTTCAGTGTTTGGCTTTTGTGTAGGTCTCCTTTCCAGTGTCATGATGTATGCACTAAACAGATTTTTATCTCGAACCAGCATGCACCTGCATTTAGATCTGACCGCCCTGATATTTTCCAACATACATGCACATTTTGAAATGTGACGTAAAGCATGAGCATGCAAACCCTTCGCCCTTGCTTGATGACATCCATAAATTTAGACTTCTCATCTGAGCTTTACATTCCACATTTCACAATGAATTAACTGGCAGCATTGCAATGGGATTAGTCATTGCTCTGCACCTACATTTCTGGGTGTGCAGCTTAAGGTGAAGGATCCGGAACATCCTGTATCCAAGTCAAACTGGAATGCATATGACAATTATACATGGGTGAGGTAAAGAAAAGTACATACAAAAGCTTACTTGACTTAGAGTAAGTAAGTATTGACAAAAACATGTCCTGTTCTTTGTTAAAGACCTTAAGACAGTAGTGTACATTTGCATGGAGTGAAATAGAAACATCAAATAGAAAAAAATGTCTTTGTGTCTTTAATGTTGAGTAGTTTTTTCCAGAGTGAAAAAAGTGGGCCTCCCTTTCAAACCGTCACTGCGTTCCTCAGGTCCCACAGGAAAAGGCCCAGATTAAATCACTTCCTCTTACATTGTGATACTACAGTGGTCGGACCACACTCTCTCTGTGTGTCCATAGATAACCCGCTTTTTCTGTAACACACGTACACACACAGTGTCTCTCTTAAAGGAATAATCTGACACTTTGCGAAATATGATTCCTATAGGTGCACCTTGTTTTTGAGTTGAGTACAGAGCTGGAGCCAGGACGTGATTAGCCTAGCTTAGCATAAAGACAAGAAGCAGGGAGAAACAGCTAGTTTGATTGTAGAAAAAGTTATAAATTTCTACAGGTCACATCAGTTTGTTAGTTTCAGTGGGTGCAGCTCATTAAACTTTCACAGGAAAATTTTAAAGGTATACTATGCAGGTTTTGTAGCTGACTGTTTGAAAACACAACATTCAAACTTGGCCCCTCCTCTAATTGAGAGAGCAGCAGTGGTCACTCAAGCTCGAGAGCGAATGAGGAGCAGGAACGGTGTTAAAAAGAACAAAGCAGTGATCAGGAAAATAAAACATTATTTTCAGTCATGTTCTAAAGCACAAAAAAACACGCCCACACCTCTGCACAACCATGAAGTGGTTTTGTTTGAATTCAAAGGAAGCGCATGCGTCAGCCTGTCCGCTTGGCTTCTCTGCTCTCTGTGTGTATGGCTCAATCTGGTCCTCAATCAAACAGACACACAGACCTGCAGCTCGCATCCACAAAGCAGACAAGAGAGATGGAGACAGCAGGTCACTACATTTTTATCGAGTCCAGACTTTGTGCTGCTATTTGCTGGAGGCTACACACCAAAGGTTGACACCCAGACATGTCCTGAACAAACCAATATAGAAGAAAATAAGAAAGTAGAGGCAGAGGACAGATACAGACACCACCACACACTGCTATGGGGTCAAAGGTGATGACTGAGAGGGATCCTGCATAGTATACCTTTAACAGCTTTTAACAAACAAACATGAGTAGACTCAGTAGGTTCAGATCTTCTCATCTAATTATCATCATGAAAACATAAGCATATTTCCCAAAATGTTGAACTATTCCTTTAAAATGGTGTCACGAGAGGTCCACATTCTCATATTCGCCGTGGTCTGAGTCCTCCAGTTCGATACCCGGCACCAGGCTGTAGTATTCAGTTGACTGAGTCAGGTAAGCCTTCTCTCTGTCAGCTGAGTCTTTCATCACTTCAGTCACGCTGACTGTGTCCAGGTCTGTCTTGCTGGCTCTGTCAGGCCCTTCGGGACCCTGCTTCCCTTCTGTGAAGCTGGAACAACGTAAGGAAACTCGGGGAAGAGACTCCACTGAGCCCACCTTAACCTCCACCTCTTCATAAATGTCCCTGGTGCTGCCCAGCAGGGTGGATGACGGGCGTAGCAGCAGCTGGTTCTTCAGGATCCCCTCACTGCCAGAGCTTCCAGCTTTACTCGGCTCACTGGCTGCAGGTTTCTGCTTGCTGCGATGCTTCTGGCCGTTACAGCTGGAGCTGGAGGCTCTCTTTTTAGATGTGCTTACTGGTGCTTCTTTTCTCTTCCTCTTTCTCCCACAGCACCAGCAAAGCACCAAGGCGGAGAGGATGAGAAGAGGGAGCACGATGAAGAGTGCGGTGAGGCCAGCTGGGCGGCATGCGTCGCTAAGCCTCACCGAGAACACAATCCTGCCAGCCAGGTACCTGGGAGAGACACAGGTCAAGTTCCCCACCAGAGTCTGTAGGTTAATAGTCCTGTTAACCTTCCTGCCTTCCTCCAGGCCTTCCAGTAACAAACAGGAGCAGTCCCAGGGGTTCCCATCCAGCTCCAGTGTTTGCAGACTGGGCTTCTGTAGCAAAGAGCCCGGCAGGAAGCGTAACTGGTTTCCCTGCAGATAAAGCTTCTGGAGGCTATCTGAGTCTTGGAGAAAACCCTCAGGAAGCTCCTGAATCTGGTTTCTGCTCAGATCCACCTCCTTCAGGCTCGGCTGGCTGGCAAGAAACCCCCTTGGCAACACCGTTAGTCTGTTATGACCTAAGTAAACCTTTTGCAATGTAGAGACTACTTTTTCACTCACATTAAGAGAAGTGATATTACAGAAGGAGAGATCCAGAGTCTTTATATTTGTCTCATTGGTAAACACAGACCAGGGCACATGGCTGAAAGCAGAGCCGGAGTAGTTCAAGCAACAGACGTCAGTAGGAACCTCAGAGGGAAACTGGGACAAAATGGTGGCTGCTGGACACACACATCCACCCGCAAGTCCCATCTTCGCCAGCAAGATGAAAATCAGCAGGACACACCACTGGCAAACCATCTCTGAAACACAAAATATGGTAAAGTACAGACTGTAACTTTATCATACCATATTGTTACTGCAGTGTCCCCTGCCTCTCTCTCAGCCCTACCTGCCTCCTGGTCTCTCTCTCTCAGCACTGGAGAGGATCCACGTTATGAAGGCTCACAGCTGTAAACCTAGAAGCTTCTCTGAGGACTCCTGGTTGCTGTGAGGATCGTGGGAGTTGGCATGGTGACACGGGTCAGTAGGGATCAGGAGTCCAGTGTTTGGCTGTTGGAGAGGAAACAGATGCTGCAATGACTTTTCACGTGAAGGCTGCGCTGTTAATTGGCAGATGGAAGTTGTACAAACATTACCTGAAGGTAAAGCTGAAGCCTAAAGTAGGTCAACAAGCAGGTTATCTTGTTTGCTTAGTCTTTAAGCTCCCTGAAATCTGATGCAAAAAGCTAACCAGGGTTTTATTGCAAAAATTTTCCAAATTCCCACCTATGGAGCAGCCTAAATGATCTTTGTTTCGTTTTTTTCCTTTGTCACAGATGTGTGTGTTTGTATTTATGCCTGTTGCTGGGCTGTTTTTCTTCATTTATGTTTTAGTTTAATGAGAGCTATAATGTTAATGGTACATTGTCAATTGTCTTACACTCCATGCCTGTCTCCCAACTCACTGACAGCCAGGCAGCATCTTTTATGTAGTGCAATTTATATTTTTCATGATTAATATCATATAATATTGGCTTAAACACAACAACAGTCAACGTCCCCTCCACACATATTTCTTTGCTATTGATTGAGGCTGCAACTTTGCCGGTCAAAGTTTGCCAAAGTCGAACTCCACGCAATGTGAAGATGTGCTTTGCCACTGGAAGCAAATGTTTTCACTCCCATTGAATGGAAGTAAATGGAAGCGGAAGGAAGGTGAAAAATGTTAATTTCGCTCATGTATAAACGTACCCTTAAAATTCTAAACAACCTGCTAACTTTTCACATGTACTAACAGGTCTTTTAAAACAGTTATTAGAATACATAACATACCAAGTGCAGTAAAAAACACAGTAAAGCCTGATTTATGGTTCTGCGGCGTACCTACGACATACCTACATCGTTGCCGTGACGCTGTCGTGAACCCTTTGAACTTCTCCGTCACTCCATTTCGTCGTGGTGCAATTCACCGCCAGAGAGGTAGGGGGCTGCGTTCCTTTCCTAAATGGTTATCGTCGTCTCTAGTTGATTCTTTGATTAGCTTCCGGCTTTTCCAGTCACAGTGAACAACAGCGACCGAGAGAGAGAGAATCTTGCTGGAGTTGGAGTTGTTGGATGTCGAAGAAAGTATGTTAATACTGCAACATCTACATTGCAACAGAAGATGTTTAAAGATGGCGGGGATGGCGCAATCTGGAAATACAGAACCGAAAATGCGTTGCTACCAAGCAAACCAATCACAGCCCTCTCGGTCTGTGCTGGGTCTGCGTCACCTCGACGTGTAGTAATATTTTTTGGGAGGTGCACGTCAGGCTACGCTGGGGGCTACGGTGAGCCTCCTGCGTAGCCACGTACTCTACGACGTCGTTGATTTAACGCAGGATCATAAATCAGGCTTAACAGTTGTGAAAAAAAACAAAAAAAAACATATAATCATATAATATACTTAAAGGTCCAGTGTGTAGGATTTAGTGGCATCTAGTGGTGAAGTTTCAGAAGTGAAAATTCTCCCATGTTTCAAGAATGTAGGAGAGCTATGGTGGTTGAGGTGAAAACATGAAATTGCCAAACCCTAGAGCCAGTGTCCTGGTTTGTCCGTTCTGGGCCACTATGGAAACAACGTGGCGGACACCGTGGAAGAGGACTTGCTCCATATCTAGATATAAACAGTTCATATTAAGGTAACAAAAACATTTTCAGGTGAGAATAAACTAATGAAAACATATTTAAGAATATATAGACAATTTCTGCCACAAGATGCCACTAAATCCTGCACACTGGACCTTTAAAACAAAGCATAAAACCCAATGGAGAAACCTTTGTTTTTATTTGTTTCCAGTTTAAAATACTTTTTATATTTTGCTTGCCAAACAACAGCAACAGGCCTATATCTTAAGCTATAAACAGCTGGGAAACAGAAAAATATGTTTTTCATCTCTCCACTCGTACATGTCGTGTATCATAATATATAATACTGTATGATATATATTTAAACTGGGTTGGGCGAGTCGAACAAAGTACAGTGCCTGGGCAGGTTAATGTTAAAATGAAAAGGAACAAACACGCAAGACAACAAAACACGGTAGAAAACAGCATAAATGACCTTGTCGAGGTTTGAGAAGGTCCCCAAAATAATGTGAAACTGCTTTCACTGTAATTTCATGAAGTAGAAATTACCCCTGTGGGACTATTTTAACCTCAGGTTTCTCTCCTACCATGTGTCTTACTGAGAGACTGTAACATGACATAACATTTGGGAAACCCTGCTACTGGAGACATAAAAAAATAATTGCTGGTCACTTCCTATAACTCCTGTGTACTCAGTGACTCTGCCTTAACATAAAAGCAGATGTGGTCGACATAAACAGGGCCTGTGTTTTCTGAAAGACTTTACATGTGAAGCAGGCAGCAAGAGAGGGAGTGTGTTTGGTCGTGACATCAGACTTCCTCACACACCACAATAGAGCTGAAAGCTGCTCTACAGTTAGGAGGCAGGAATGTGCTAACTCCTCAACAACAGGGCCAATTCATGAGCAGTGGAGGGTTTAGGCAGGACCCCTGTTGTCAGCTGTGATCATCTAGACCTATGAACCACAAAGAAACCTCAATTCACCTGCTAATGAAAATGAGCTACAACAACAGGTGGAATCATCTGCCTGAAATCAAATTCAGCAATTTTAATTTCCTGCAGATCTCATCACAAGTAACAATCAAACAACTATGATTAATCGTTTCGGTAACTTTTGAGGCAGAAATTCCAAAAGTCCACTGGTTTCAGCTTCTCAAATGTGAATATTTCCTGGTTTCCTTAGTCCTTTATTACAGGAAACTGAATATTTTGGGGTTTTGGACTTTTAATTTTGATAAAAACAGACATTCAATAGCTAAACCAAACAATTAATTATGCAAAATCAAGCATTTAAACTTTATTTGTTGCTATAAATCAACATAAATGGTGGTTGCTTCTCTGCATATAGTGTCCAAAATATTTAAGTATTGATGTTCTGTTTGCCTCTCTATTTTGGAGATGCTGCTGAAGGATTATATTAACATGATATTTATCTCCTGAAGATCACTGCACTATTTTAGACACTGGAAACTACAATCCATGGGAAAAAATGACATACTCTTCAACAACAAAAAGACAATGTTGAAAATACTGAAGGAAATTAAATGAGACAGCTGCGCTCAGGGCACAGTTTAATGCTCCTTTTGACATTTTTCATGCTCCTGTCCTTATTGTTTCAAAACGGATCTCACTGTAATAAAATGTACAATGTGTGTTTATTTGACAGCTTCATCCCGGGCCATCTATTCTTTATTCTGTTTTGTATCTTCCGGGCTAAACATGAAATGTTATAACAACACTGAGAGTCTGCAGCCATGCAGCTATGTGAGGTTGTATTTTTGGCACAGTAAATGCTAATGTCAGCGTGCTAACATGCTCACAGTGATGCTAACATACTGGATTTTAGTAGGCATCATGTTTATTATCACCGTCTTTAACCATCTTAGCACATTAGGATGCTAACATTTAGTAAGGCCCACTAAGTGCAGCTGAGGATGATGGGAATATCCCTGGGTTTGCAGGTGGGTTGGTCATAAACTAAAGTGTTGGACAAACTGAAATTTGGAGCTGATGTTAGCGCTGGATGAAAAATCAGAATCACTAAAGTTACTGCAATTCATCCTGAGGGAAATATGAAGGTCTGAAATAAATCGCATCACAATTCCTCCAGTTCCTTAGATATTTCAATCTGGACCAAAGTGGTGGACTAGAAAAGCTATTTGTAAGTGTAAGGTGTCATTCTGTTATTACTTTGTCGATGTATGGAGCTGTACTGAGCAGAAAACTTTTGGTTATGAATGGATGCCATCTTGGAGTCCAGTATGCAGTTCTTTCGACACATCCATTGTGTCACACTCCAAAAGCACTGGACTTATATCCAATACATTTCCCATATACAGTCAACATAGACCCTCAAATTAGACCCTCCTTCCCTGATAAATGGAAAAAAAGCTCTTCTTTAACAGTCCCAAAACATAATAAACAAACATGGAAATAAGAAGAGTAGGCCTACATGTAGACTTTCAGCCTCGACTTCAGCTGAAAGGCAAAAGTCTCTCTAACAAACGCAGGAAGTGTGCGTCAAAGGAAAGAAACTCTGACTCTTTGTTGCTTGTATAAAGATGATCTAATACATCCAACATGTGAAGAGTGCAGACTGTTTGACAGAGTGGGAGGATGAGATATTATAAGTAAGAAGAAAGTTGCTTATGTTATCCATATCTATTTAGACTGCTTTGTTAGAATATAATAAATAATAATCTCACATGGAGTTATAGAGCCTATACTCAGGGGAAAGTAACTAAGTGCATTTACTCAAGTACTTAAGTACAATTTTAAGGGGCTTGTACTTAGAGTATTTCTATTTTAGGCTACTACATACTACTAGAGGGAAACATCGTCCTTTTTGCTCCACTGTGTATATTTGACGGCCCTAACTACTTTACAGATTAAGATGATTTATACAATATATAATTTAAAAATTAATCATGATGTATTGTAGATACTACCACACAGCAGTATATAAATGTGTTAAAATTAGCTTCACCTTTGGCAAACTTTCTCATTTTACAGCAAAACAGCACACTAAAATATGCTTCTGGCGAGAAATAGGCAATGCAGTTACAAAATTTTGAGTCATATTTGATCAGTGCTGCCTAGTTTGACAGTTTGACCAAGCAGTGTGTGCCATGATTGACAGCTGCTTTAAAAACTCCTTGACTCTTGGTTGTTTTCATCCATTCCAAGTTACTAAAAGCACTAGCAGGAAGCAGAGGAACATGATCTTGTAACAGATTATCTGTTATGTCTGGATGTAGTGGCAATTCTAGCAAAAAGTTATTTTAATAAACACAGCTTTAATGCTTTGAAGGAGATTAATACAGTTGAATGTTTGATAAAGACAATCAAGAATTTTTAAATAAGGTGGTAAAGCTTGCGTTTACAGATAAGCTTGTGTTTGCTTTTAATCTCAAACTTGTACCTCAAATTCATCCATGTGAACTGTTGGTATAAAACATTTCATATCCTCTAACTCTGTCATTATTTGCATGCTGCAGTGCTCTGTGAAAAGCTTTTTGTCCTGACTGATAGCTATCAACAGATGATATATTCAGGGCTCTATCACTCTGAGGAGGAAAAGGAAAAGTTTGTGTTGGTGCACATAGGTAAAAATTTGCTTACATTTGGATGCTTTGGTCTACGTTTTAAGTAAGACTTTTGTATGTGTTGCTAATTCTATGCATTCACCAGTTGAGATAACTTCCATCTCGGCCTGATAACAGAAACAGTCTAAAGGTTAGAGTCAGCTCACCTCTGGACATGTCTAGAAATCTGACAGCTCAGGGGGTTGTGTGTGTTTCTGCATATGTGTGGCAAGCCAGCACTCTAAATATTGACAGATGAGTTGATCTTTGGATTTGAAGTTACACACAACACAAGAGACACTCACAGCGCCTCAGAACTGAGAGCGTAAAGCCTCTTCATCCAAACAGAAGCTTGGATCGTCTCCTCTCAGGGTGTGAAGAGTGCCCACTGCAAGAGGAGCGAGGTTTAAATCTGGAGAACATGGGTGATCTCACTCACTAACAATGTGAGCTGCTGCATCCTCCCTGGCAGCAGAGCTTCCTCTGAAATAACGGTCTCCATTCTCCTTTCATACAGCTTTTCATCGTGTGACGCCCCTCCCAATGTCTTTGAGAATGTTTCAGCCAGACATGGGAGGGTCGTTACCATGATTAGGCTCACCTGGGCCTCCAAGCTATAAAAGCTGCCTAACCTGGTCACTTGGTCTCTCCCTAACTTTCAGCTGACATCCACTGAGCATCATTGGGTTTTGGTTTGCACCTTCAACACCTCCACAACACGCCTGACACTCACCCATGCATGGCTTTCATGACTGACTTTGCTGATCTACTTCATTGATTATTTAAGTTAATTTTAGTTTAATAAATTGTTTTAAGTAAATCTTTTGTGTGGACTCCCTTCTTGTCACATACTCTGAGCCAGTTTGTGACAATCGTTAAATATTCGTACTTTAAACACGGGCTGCAGCTGTACGACCACTGAGGACACAGAGAGATATATTCTGGGGATTTTAGTGTCCAACAATTAAAAGCTGTGCTGTTTAAAAGCCAGACTCTCTCTTTTCTTTTAATATTTAATGTTGTTCATTTTAAAGAAAATAAGAATAATAGGCCGCACGATTCAGTACTTTGCCAGAGAGGTTTTTTTAAACAGCATGCTGGGAAATAAACTTAATCTAATGGCTGACAGTGTAGAAAACCACAATCAATAGGATAATTTTATGTATTTTTTGGGTGTCTGGACACATTTTCTGGAAGGGGGTGGGGTTGCATTAGGGAGGACTTTGACCCATGACCTCAGTATTGCTCAATATCTGTTTGCAGCTTTAAACAAAACACATTATAGGCTATCATAATTTCAAGTTATAACTCACCTTAAGTGCAACAGCACCCTGTGTGGATGATTACATCTTTTACAAATTTGCACAAACGTATACACTTAAAGACATGCATGCACACCTGTTTGAGAACATGTGTAGTCTTACCTGTGATTGACATGTTGCAGCAGCCCCGTTGTTTTCTGTCAGAAGCTCGCGAGAGAAGCAATGTAAAGGCAGCAGCGTCTTTCTTCTCTCTGCATCCCATCAGCTGTCCCGGCTGAACCTCTCCTCCTCCGGATCTGAGGGTGTGTCCCCCTCCGAGCGGAATGTGGAAATACAGCCTCTAGTCGGCGTGTGTGTGTGTGTGTGTGTGTGTGTGTGTGTGTGTATGTGTGTGTGTGTTAGTCTGTTTATTCATACACAGTGTCACGGTGCTCGTTTATCTGCGACTGAAGCTGACAGGTTTTTATCTTCACTGAGCTCAGTCCAAAGTTGAACTGAGCTGCTGCAGCGCTGTGACCGCAGAGCGCCCCCTGGTGGGTTAACTAACTTTCTCACAAAACTCAAAGAAGTAAAAGTCGTGATCAAATTTATACTTAAGTTAAAGTGCAAAAGTAGCTATTAACAGAATATGCTTAAACTATCAAAAGTGAAAGGGATCTGAATTATCTGCAGAGGTCTCTTCCTCTCCAAAACAAACATAGCTTGTGATTTAAAGGTCCAGTGTGTAGGATTTTGGAGGAAAATATGGCAGAAATGGAATTTGATATTAATAACTATATTTTCATTAGTTTATAATCACCTGATAATAAGAACAGTTGTGTTTCCCTTACCTTATAAGCCATTTATATCTACATACAGAGCGGGTCCTCTTCCATGGAGTCCACCCAGTGGTGTAGTGGAGGGTATACTCAGGTATATGGGGTATACCCACTTCTTTTTCTATCCAGTTACAGTATACCCACCTATCAGCTAAAAAGCCATTGTAATACATAGGAGAGTATGCCCACTTCCTCATCGGTAACCTACCTATCTACCTAGTAGTACACCCACCTCATCAATTACCACGACACCACTGAGTCCACCATGTTGTTCTACAATGCCCCAGAACAGACAAAACAAACACTGGCTCTTGATAGGGTCTTTTCATTCAGGGGAGACAGAAGAATGAAGTAAATATAATATCTAATACAGAATATGAGTGTACAGATTGACAGGTGATTTGTGCTGATTAAGATTTAACAGAAGTCTTTGGGTCTTTGACACCACAGGGAGATGTTTTATGATTGAGGGACATCTGAGCGACAGCAGGATAAATCCCCCCATAGAGTCCAGACACTGGTGGTGGTGGCTGCTGACTCTGAGGCTGATGACTCCTGAGGAGGATGAGGCTGATGAATCTATAAAGACTAGGTGGTGATGGATACCATGGTTCCTCTATAAGTTTCAGTTCCTCAACCTCACTGCTAGATGCCACTAAGTCCTACACCTTTAATCAGTTAAATTAATAAATTAATTGCCACTCCTCCATTAAAAATTACTTAAAGCACTTCATCGGTTACATTTAACTTGAGTACATTGATTTAATTCCAATATTTAGCATTCATATTGAGTTAAATTTGGAAATGTGATGTTATTTCACAGAGCTGTTGCTATTTGTCATTATTCTAACTGATTCATGATACATGATATGAGCTTACATTAGAGCATTTATTGTATTTTTTCCACAGATTACTTCATCAGCTGTCTTATGGAATTTTTCAGTAAACTTTCTTCTTTCATTGCCTGTGCTGTATTTTGCATTCGTATATTTTGATTTCAGCTGTAGGCTGCTTACACTGTACAATTGAGTTTTTTTTGTTTGACCAGTAGATGGCAGTATCAACCAGCACTCAAAAAAAGTTCAAAAATTACTGTAAACATAGATTTTCATACTTTCCAACAACACAAGCTGAAATGATAAAATCAATAAAAGATATGTTAACTGACAGAGAATTATTCTGATAATTGTGTCAGTCACAAAATATACAAAAATGCTAAAAGCACTCACTGATGGAGCGTCTCAAAAGTGAGGATTTGCTGCTATTCTCTGTCATACACGTTAGACATCTAAACATTCTGCCGAAACAAGAAATGTGAAAATGTCATTTTGCACTGTTTTCTAACATTTTTAAACTTATTATTCAAGAAAATATCATCAGTAATGAAAGTAAGCATTGGTTGAGGCCCTAAAACTAACCAACACAAACATATACAAACAGAGTTATTTATTTAGATATAAAAGACAGGTGCTTTTTATACAGTCTATATACATTGTTCAAAGACAATAATAAGAAAATCTCTGAATTGCTACAAAATCAGTGTAAACATTTTTTCTGGTTGGTCATTTTCTTAAAGTCTCTGTGATGAGACAGAAAAGAGTGCAGAGAACTTATTGTAAACAATGCACACCTCCCTCTCACTGAATATAACACTGATACAATAAACAAAAACAAAAAAAGGAACAGAAGAGACAGTATAAAAAAAGGAGATTATGCTTCGGTCTTGATCGTTGTTAGATTACACATATTGAAACATATTTGTTGGCACCTTTATGTCCATTACAGACAAATCATAAACAATACATTTTAGTGCATTTTTTCTTTCTTTTTGTGTGTCAGTTTTAAAGTCCCAGGAGTCCTCCACACTGATCCACAGACTGTAAATACACTATATTTATATACTGTCATTCAGACACTTGGTGGCAGCAGTGCTACAGTTTACTGTACGCGCCACTTTCCTGCAGTTCCCTGCATATTACCAAGATGTTGGAGGTTTCTCAATGACACTCTGGTTACACTCTACGACCTTAAAGACAATAGTTTAGAATAGCTTGACATATGGGAATATACAATTATCTTTCTGTCCGAGAGTTGGACAAGAGGATCGAAACTATTCCAGCAGCCACAAAGTTCTCACGTCACCCCAGTTTAGCCTCTTTGCATTGTTTACCACTATTTTGAAATCCTACTCTTTACTTACAGCACATCAATAAACATTTAACTCCTTACTGTCCCAAGAGACCTCTTACATTAGCTGGAATCCATGTTAATGTCAGAGAGTACTCAAGCTTTTGCTGTACTGACACCACTTGTCTAGACTCATCAACAGTAAAAAAAAAGTGCCGGCCAACAACTTTAAAGCTAACTCATTAACAAGTTATATCTTGTTTGTTTAATCCAAAGAATAAAAATGACAAGATGTGGTTTTACGGGTAGTTATGTGCCGGACTACTTCTTGGCTGGGTGTAGTGACTTCCTGGAGTGGAGTCATCACCAGGGTTGTAAATATAAAGAGTGCAGGCAGTGTGATTGCACTGGGGCCTTTGAGGGGGGGGGGGGGGGGGGGGGGGGGGGGGGGGGGGGGGGGGGGCATAGCGAGAGTAGGCCCTCCAACAATGTGTTGGGTGGAGATTGGGCCCCTATGAGTGATTGCCACCTTGGAAATATGCCTGTTTTCAAAGAACTCTCATTAAATTAACAACAGTGCTATTATATGCTCTTGAAGAAGGCAAAGCCATCTCTGTCATGTTTTTTTTTTTTATTTGTAAAATAGTCAGTAGGATCTATAATAAAATGATACGCTTATTCCAAGTAAACTATAACAAACTATTACAAATTGTTAAATTAAATTAAAAATGTCTCTTTTCTTTGGTATTTTTTGTAATATACAGATACACAATGATGATTGCTGGGAAATATGTATGTTAATGTTATCCAATGTCAAGTTTCTGACCACGTGACAAGACGATAAGTGTATGGTAGCGTGCACTGGAGCCCGTTGTAACTACCTTATGCCACTAGTCATCACAGTCAAGAAATAGTCCTGATATAATTGGGCTTTAGAGTTACTGGTAGGCAAACTGGTAAGCTAACATAACTTGGCTGTGGCTACATTTTAGCACACAGACATGAGAGTGATATCAACCTTCTCCTCTAACTCACAGCGAGGAAACAAACAAGCATATCTCCCAGAATGTTGAGCTATTCTTTGCTCTATTGCTCGGACTGCTTAAAACCAGCCCATCATCCATTATAACATAATGGTTCCCAACGTTTTTTGGCTAATGATACCTTGAAATGACAAAAAAAGCAACAATTACAGAAAAGTCAAACAAAAATTAGAATAATTTCTAAAGCAGAACTGTGTTATTTTGTTATTTGTTATCTTCTTAATCATCTTTTGACCCCAGCAGATTTATTTATTGACCCTGGGTTGGGAACCACGACATCATAAGATCCCGTCCTGACAAATGTTTTTTTTTTTAATATTTCATGGAGGCAGAATGAATCTCACTGGTTTAGTTAACATCACTCGCAGAGCCAGAGCACCAGCTACCTGACTTTCCTACACATCAAATTACCAAAAAGAGGCTCATAGCTCATCCTATCCAGATCACAAATACTGTGGTCATCTCTGAATAAAAAAGTCACTGCTATTCACATTTAGAATTTGACTGGCTGTAGCTCTGTCTCTGGTTAATTTTGCTCTTTGGTTTGTACCCTTTGACATATTATTTATGTCTGTCCAAAACAAGAACTTCAGCCTTGAACAAACAGTACACTGTTGTTATGATTGTCTGCTGCCACACATTTACATGCTATTGTTCATCCTTAGGAAAACAAAGTGATTCTGGAGCAGTTTTTTTCTTCTTTGGTTTTGGGTGGCCCATCATGAGTCCAGGTAGATGGAGTAGATCTGGTTGAGGCAGCGGTCGACACCTCCTGCCTGGAAGAGGAAGCTGTCGTCTGAGCATGGAGACATGGAGTAACCGCCTCCCGCCTGGCCCTGCAGGTCCTGCAGCAAGTCGAACCCTGAGAGGAGGAAAACAGAAAATTTTCTATTTTTTTGACAGTAATAAACCGTTAATCATCACATAAAGAGCTTAATGCCAGTGAGCTACCTTACCTTGTGTTGTCATTAACACCAAATCCTTTAAAATCAAAGTAAGCAGATAAGAGAGGAATCCCTCAGCAGACCAGACCTATACAGATTCTATAACATCCAAAGTATGATGGCAGTCCAGTTAAGAAAATGTACGATGGGAATTCAACAGTTCCATGGTAACAGACACAAAGCCCGTCCAGCTAGCTCGCCTAGTTCTTAAGGAAGGCAGTATGGTAGAGAAGAACTAGTTTGTATGATGAGTTGTAGGTGTGTTGTCATAGTGAGGGGGAGATGAGATACGGGGATAACCGAGTACATTTCCGGACAGTTTCACCTGCAAGATATTAATCGTCTTGCACCCAGAAAGTGACAGAAAGTATTCTGTCAAGATAGCCAGAAGTCACATTTTAATCCAAATGTAGTGCAAATTTTAACCAAATTTTCAAAAATGTGCAAAAAAGAGTATGCAAACATATGACCATTTCCATCCACTACTGTTTTAGTGAATTTTAGGAGTAGGTCAATTGAAATTAGCAGCTGGTGGCAATAATTCTTCAGTCAGATGCCTCTTCCACTGCAGAAGAAGAGGATGCAACAAGGCATTCATGTTCATGTCATGTATTAATTTGAAGAAGATTACTGTCTCCTCACTGATCCACACAGATTTGATAGTCTACCGCCATTTTTGTTTCTTCAGTGGATGTTTAAAGTTCCAGTGTATAGGATTTAGTGACATCTAGTGGTGAGGTTACAGAACTGAAACTTCCCCTATGTGCCAAGCATGTAGGAGAACTACAGTGGCTGACACAAAAATGTAAATGGCCCTATGTAGAGCCAGTGTATGGTTTATCTGTTCTGGGCTATGAAGCAACATGGCAGACTCCATGGAAGAAGACCCACTCATATGAGGATAAAACCACTCATTCTAAGGTAACAAACCCACAACAATGTTTATTTTCAGGTTATTATAAACTGAGGAAACATAGTTTAGTTTTTTCTAAATCCTAGACACCTTAGACCTTTAAGTCACCTGCTTCATGTGTGTTATGAGTAATGTATGCCTATATTGCAGTTCTTATCATTGGTGTATATACCAGCAATATTTTGAGTCTTTTTCTGAGACTGCTGGTATCAGATAGAAGGTGGGTAGCAGGAGGCGGTTCAGATGTTGCCTGACCATCCAACACGTGCTTTTATTGGAGCATATAAACGCCTAAACTCTGCTTTATTGCCATCTTACCTGTAGAGTGAGAGGCGGACGGAGTTGTGAAGTAACTGGCAGGTTCAAAGCCTCCATCATTGACTGGCTGAACCACTTTCCCTTCTCCGTACAGACATCCTGGAGAACCACAGAGGAAATGTCAAAAACACCAAAACCTATATGTTTGAACAACGTAATGAGGCTGCTGATGTTGACACATACTCATTGTACACTGTCAGTACCTTGCTGCTGTGTGAATACTTGTTGGTGGCTGTAGGTTTTGTGGTAACCCTGCAGCTGGACGTCCACTCTGTCTGATGAGGAGCTCGCTGGGCTGACGTCAGCAGACATGAACAACGATGTTGGTCTGTTCCTGTTGGCAACACAACACCAGGTAGCTGGATTACTCCCCAACATAAACATTTATGTGAGTGCGAGAAATGACAAAACTATGATGTACGTTTAAACTTGACTAACTGAGGTTTTATTCACATTTTCTATTGCTTAAAACATTAAAGGAACAGACTGACAATGATTATCTGCTGTAACACATTATAAGTAACAGCTGATAAACTGTATGATCAGAGAAAACAGAGAAAAAGGGCTGGTGCATTTACTTTTTCTCAAGAGTGGTAGAAAACTTACAACTACCAGAATGCACCGCACTACACCAGACCACTAAATGCTCCAGCTGGTGTGTGGAAATATGTCAGCTTGGCCATTTTGACACAGGAAACAATATGGCGGCCAGGCTGGTAATAAACAATCTGAATTTACAGTTAAACAGTAAGCTAAAATATGTTTCTGAAAACATTATAGGTGAGAAATAAACAATGCTTGGTTCATATTTGATCAACACTGCTTCGTGTTACCGTTTGATCTCAGTATTTTCAACCTCTGTTTTTACAATACAGGAAACAGTATGGCGCCCACTTCCTGTTTAAAAATTCTCGTATTACAGCTAAACAGTGCACTTAAATATGTTCCTGAAGACATTTTATGTGAGCAGTACGCAAGAGAGTAACAGAATCTTGGTTTGTCTTTGATCAGCACTGCTTAGTTTTACAGTTTGATTCGAGTTTGAAAGAGTGAGAGAGAGGGGTGGGTCTCTTTTTTGATCTGCTTCTACACTCCTTGTGTCTGTAATGGTGTACCATCAAAAGTTGCAATTTGTATTTTAAGCCCTATTGCCAGTGAAAATCAATTGGATGCTGGATTTAAGCTGAGAGATGAGCAGGGAGATCTGGGTGCTGGTGAGATGGAGGGAAGTTTACCACAGTTCATTTACACATACTGCCCACACTGTTATGATACAATGCTGGTTGAAAATCACCAAAGTGTCCCATTGAAAACTAGGTTTTATTAAAGTTTGACACACACATCTCTGATCAAACCAAACCCAGACTAAGTATTTATACTGATAACCATTATCTGTCAGTGTGGCAGCAGCTGTATTATCAGACACAAACATGTAAATACTTAAAGCTCTTGTACAAACAGTGCATTTTAGACAAGGAAGCGTTTCCACATTGAGGGGGGGTAATGTAGGCGGGCTTTGTGTGGCGCTGTATCCATCGCTACGCTGTAAGAATGTGCTGACTGTGCACGAACACTCTGACTCAACATGGAAACGAGTGAGTCAGTGGAGCCAAGTCGACGAGAAGAAAGAAAAGGCAGGCGAATATCTCTCCAAGGAGATATGCAGCTGAAACCCCCCAATATGGTATTTGAGCCCCCCCCCCTCCCCTTCCTGCTCCTTCAAAGAGCTCGCTCTCAGCATTTCATGTGGCCTGAGAACTCTCCTGGATGATGTACTGTAGCATATTGGTCCCCAGAGAGCCAAATGGCCTTGGTTTCTGCTGGAAGGGTTTTAGTGGGCTTCATAAACAAGCCAGGCCTTGTCAGAGATACTGATGGCTGTGGGCCCAAAGCGCCTTCTATATTCGCATCTGACCAGCTATAAAAGAAGGAAATGTTTGGAGATTTCTTTACATATCTATCATTTATCATCCCCAGGTCTCTTTATTACCCATTTCCCATGTCAAATGCTATTACATTTAATTTAACAGCGTTCAGTGGAGAAACACAATAAAAGCCAAAATTAATCAGAAGGACTTTTTGAAACCCAAACTGATATAACTTACAGATGGCTACGGCTTCCCAAGGTAATAAAGACCAGGCTTTGTATAGGATTATGCAAACAAAGTGGGCTTTGATATAGCACAACTGTTGAAATGAATGTGCCGCGATGACTGCAAGCCCCAAGAATTCAACACTTCTCTGGATTCCCCCTTGGTGGCCCCAGAACCATCAGAGCTGACCTTAACTATAAACAACTGCGGCTGTTCCACGGCTTACATTCTTGCAATGCTGCAACAACATAGCTGGGATGACTGAGCCATCCCGTGCGTGGCCCTGCTGGGTCAATCTGTCGTTTTGTGGCCGGTTTACCCAAAACTTCTCAGATGCACAAGCTTAACACAGAACCCACGCCTGAGGGAGCAGCTGTCAGCACGACCTCAGGAAACCGTTTCTCTGATTTTATTTTACCGGCTAAACCCCTTTATCATTTTTCTTTGTTTAAAGCTAACTGCAGCCAGCTGCCCTTCTTATATCTGGAATGAGAAGAATCCTGCTTGCAGAATTTAAGCTCCTGTGTTTATATGCACATTATACTGTCTTCAACCGATGCCTGCTTTTTTAATAAAAGCACACTTGGACAGGATCAGAGGAGGGGATGAGTTGGTTTACCAGAAGGTGCCAGCTTGTGCAAGCTAAACTGATCCGTTTGCAGTTTTGGCAGAGGAAAGATGCTGCGACATAGATTTACTGGATCACAGAGGATCATGTTGAATGTATGTAACACAGATGGAGATTTAATGTGATCTAAGCACTACCAATCAAGTACTTAGAGAAACTAGAGAACACTTATTGCATGTTAGAGGTACAGTAAATACAAAAATGTGTGGACATGTCAAAACATTTTAGTTAAACCAGCTATTTGGATCTGATGTCAGTCAGAGCTTCTGCAAAGTAAACTTCATTACTTCTCTTTCCTTCAAATTGTATAATAGTGTTTCTGTGTGAGAGCCATCCCGGTTAGTGTGCCTGTATCTGATGGAGACGCTGCTCCAAAAAACCAATCCAGCTCCCCTCGACCACAAAACACACAAACACTGCACATCACAAATAACCACTGATGGACAAGCCTTAGAGCAGGCCTCTGAATCCCTCAAGTATTAAATAATTAAAAGAAGTCGAAATGGCTCATCTCAGCCAGAGTAAACACGTGCCTGGCTATGAGGTCAGAGCTCGACGCTGTGAAGCACAGATAATTTACTTTCACGTGTTTAACGTCTCGCTAAGTCATTTGGGGGAAAAACAAGTGCTTGTCTGGTATTGGCTTTGGCAGGCCGTCGTGTACTGCGGGCACCAGTGGGATTCTATGACATCCTCAGTGTCTATAAAGAGACGTCAATGGATAGACTGTGCATGGAAGCTCTGGCTGCAAACTTTGAGGAGATGGAGGCTAAGAGATGCTGCATTAAGGCGAGTACAGTTATATATCCTAAAAATACAAACACATAGACAACCAAACTCTACCTGAGCATCAATTTAAAGTGCTTTTCTAAAACACGGCTTTGTTTAGTGAACTCCAAAGAACATTAAATTAGTTAGTTTAACACCTAAACCTGATATTCTCAGGTGAAATCCTGCTGCAGGTGACAGAAGTGAAGCACCTTGACAAAGTTCAGTGTTTAAGCTATTTTTTGTTTGTTTGTTTTTTCAAAAGTACTTCCAAGGATATTCATTATAATGGCAAATTTTCAAGGCTTGTTTGAGGTGGGCACATATACATCAAACTACAATATAATGTAGTTTTATTACTAACAATACAACTTGAAGAATGGAAGAATGGAAAAATCCATCTCAACACCTTTTCTAAGACTTAAAGAAAATAATACATGGAACACTGGACAAGCTAAGGTATCATATGTGTTTTCGCTATTTGCAATTTTTAATGCTTTTAGATCACATCTCTGGTTATACTGTGCACTTAATTAACAATATAACAATGGGGGAGGTGTGTGTGGAGCATGGTCTGCTTATAAAGATGGATAATGCACCTACTCTTAAATCCCAATAGTGAAACAAGTCATTTTGCAGGGGTTGTGACACAACAACAAAAACAACAACGTATGATTAGGCTAAAGGTGTCTTTTTTTTTTTTTTTTTTTTTTTTTTACAATGTAACTCTATGGAGAAAAATCTTTTTGGGCCCAATGGCATCACGTGACAGACCTGAGTTGTAGTTACACAGTTTGGCCACTATGTCAAATTCGCTTCAAAGTCAAATTAAGAACAATATGAAAAGAACCAAATCATCATCTCCACGGTATTGAGTTCCTGCCCATAGTTACGTGAATTGTGAACAGCACCACTGATCACAAGTACTCGATTGTCACACACAACTGTCAATCATGACGTCAACCCCCATTTTATAGCATCAAATAAACAATTAAAACCATCCTTATCAAAATGAAGGCTTGAACATACACCAGCAAGATAAGAATTACCAAAAATGACAGAAACTATCAATGTGTTCTTTGATTTTTTTAGTTTGGCTAAGGTCCCATCTGCTAACACAGAGGGGATGTGGTATGTGACATGTACTGCAGCCAGCCACCAGAGGGCGATCAAGATATTTTGGCTTCACTTTTGGGAAGCTGCCATGCTGTCCATCTTAATTATACTGTCTATGGTGTGGAGCCACTCCACTGTGGCTCCACTAAATTATAAACCTGCCCACTTTTTTAGCAGTCCAATCAAATGTAATTTGATTGTGATTTGATTTCAAACACTGTTATAGCTATGCACTGATCAGATATTCTGTTTCACTGGAAAATACATCGCAGTGCAGAAGTTAAAGATGTTCTAACTTGCCACTGGCACTTATAATTGACATCGATTAGTTTAAAACCTTAAGATGATTATCTCAAGTAAAAGATCCACGGGAAATCCTTTAAATCTGCTTTTGTGTCAAGCCAGATTTCAAATGTGTTTTTCACAGTGAGCTTTAGGAATTTAACATAAATTTTAAAAAACACAGTATTTTCAAACAGTCCTCAGCCAGGAGTACCTACCTTTAAAACCAGAATTTACAAAAGACCGTAATCTATAAGACCAACTTTCAAGGATTTTTAAGGCCTGTTTGAGTACTGCAGACACATAGTGTTACACTGAAAAACGATATGAAGCAGTTTCATTACTAACATCACAAAATTATTATTATTTTTTAAAGATATTTTTTGGGGCATTTTTTAGCCTTTAATGGATAGGACAGACAAGTGGGAAGGGGGGAGAGAGGGAGTGACATGCAGCAAGGGGCCACAGGCTGGAGTCGAACCCGGGCCTCTGTGGAAACAGCCTTGTACATGGGGCACCTGCTCTACCACTAAGCCACCAACGCCCCCAACAAAATTATTTTTTAATTTGACAAAAAGTGAACTGTTGTTTTCCAGTAGATGGACTTTCTGCTAAGAATTTTCCAAGGTCAACAGTAAACCTTCATGTTAAAGCTTATAGGTTTGAATTTGTGTTCATTGAGAACAACTCATCTTAACTCCTGCGCCAAGACTTAAACCTAATTTGAAAATGTTTCCTGGAAATACTGGACAAATTTATGTGAAACCACGTGCATTATATGTGAAGATTTTATATCACTTATTAAACCACAAAAATGTTTGGCCCTTATCAGCTCTCTTTTATTGGATAGACTGCCTTTGTTGTTACTATTGTGCCAATAAAAGTTAGTTTACAGGCAATTCTTCAATGACCAATGATTTGAGGCCATATTGTCCAGAAACTGCTGCCCTGAAGGCTTTCAGCTGTATCTTTTTAGTCTCACTTCTACTTTTATACTGGGCTAGACAAAATTTGTCTCAGTTTACAGAACACATAAGTTCTGTGGCCTCCAACTACCCAATCAGTGCAACCACAAAGCCATAACTCCATCTCTGGTGATAATGTCTCTGGTTTATTCAAGAATGCAAAAGCTCACATCACTCTACTCATTTCTGGCATGTGCTTTACAGACGAGAGAGGCGAAGAAAAGTCATATCACAACAGGGTTTTGATGGTGTTCGAGGTTGAACCATGATTTCTAGCACGGAGGAGACATGCTTAGAAGGCTTGAGGAGTTAAAAAATGTTTTAGTGCCAGATTCTACAAATGAAGAAAGACTTTTGGGTGAACACCCGAAAATGCACAGAGGAACAGAAGTCTGTGGTCAGTTTTCACTATTTTTATCTTTCGCAGAAAATAGCTCCAGATGAAAACTGCCAAATGCAAATGAAATCCCATTCAGCTCCATTGTATCTGGTTGGCAGCAGCAGTCCCTGCAGCAGATAACTTAAAACCTTGCCAAACACAACCAGAGGGAAAATATGTTTCGTTTTTTTGGATGAACTGACCATTTAAGTTTGCCTCTGGGCACATCATTAGTACAGTAGTAGTAAAATACTCTGTTTTCCAAGAAACAAAAGCAATTGAATTTTAAAATGCATGACAGTGAGAACATAAAAATATATCCTTTGACATTTATTGTTTAACAGCTGCATCTCATGATTTGAAAGGTCATTTTTCTTAATGGTGACTTCACTCTATGAAGCAATAAAACAGATTAAAAATGGGAAAAGTAAACGACACAATCTCTCCTGTAACAGCTACAGATGAGCTGCCCATGAACAAGGCAAATAACAGTCAGTTTCAAGGAACAAATGTTTCTAACTGTAGCATTCCTGAAGAAGCCCATGTTTACTGTTTATTTAATAAGTAAATAAATAATTTTTTGGATGCAACACATGATACACTCACCCCTCTCTCATGCTCCCTGCACTTGTTAGTGAAGATATTGGGCTGTTGGCGTCAAAGTTTCCTTCCAAACCTCGATACCTGGAGCAGGTGTCTGCTGATGGAGGGAGAAACTCTGAATTTTCCCTGTTGTGGATGGAGCAGCTGTTTGAGTACACACCTGAGAGAGAGAGAGACATAAATTTATTTAAGTATTACTTATCCTTTGAGTATCCACTGGCTTTGGATGGTTGGTTGCTCCTTGATGGAAGTTTGTGCAGCTACACTTTGTTTAGATTTATAGTAGTTACAATGGATCCCCAAAAAATGTTTAAGAACATTCATAGAAACTTCCAAAACTGCCACCGCAGCATATTCACCTTCTACATTGTCTGCCTTAATGCTAAGGTTGTCCCAAACCACCTTTACATTTTCACCAAAATATGACTTAACAAACAGAGCTACAGTTTGTAATTAGCATATTTACGCGTTGATGTCGTTTGCTACCAACATAAGCAAGCTATGGCTACATCTAATGATAATTTCCTTCTCAATTTTTTGGTCTTTTTAAGTGTTCAATTTATTATCTCATCTAGAAAGTATCAGAAAATAGGTAAAAATGTTCATCAAATTTTCATCAAAGTTTTGCCTGTTCAACACATGGATGTATAAAGAGAACTGGATACAATGTTTGTGCGGGATTCATATTCATTCCTATGAAAGCTGCTCAGGGATGAATGAAGTCAGAAAACATTTGACTTCACGGATGCAAATTTTCCTGTATCCTCCACTCCGCTTCTGCATCATTGGGCGCAATCATTGGGACTTTTGTTAGCTGAGCAGCTTTCCTCTGGTTTGGCTCTCTGCTAACCTGAATGGAGATAAGATCGTGTGGCTCTTCTAGACGTCTGAAATGTTATTGGACTGAATGCAATCCCAATAGTGAAACAAGTCATTTTGCAGGGGTTGTGACACTCAAAAAAACAACAACGTATGATTAGGCTAAAGGTGTCTTTTTTTTTTTTCTTTTTTTTTTTTTACAATGTAACTCTATGGAGAAAAATCTTTTTGGGCCCAATGGCATCACGTGACAGACCTGAGTTGTAGTTACACAGTTTGGCCACTATGTCAAATTTGCTTCAAAGTCAAATTAACAACAATATGAAAAGGACCAAATCATCAAATCTAAAAGAGCTGGAGCTTTTTTAAAAAAAAGAAATTATTACAAAAAGTAAATTAACCAACTCATCATTTCAGTGCTAAAGCAAACATGGAAGCTTCTGGTAAAGTGGCTAACTGTGTTAGGAAAAAAACAGGAACTATATTTTTGCTTATTTGGGAAAAATACAAGTATTTTCACTGAATATATACATCTAAAAGGTGCTGTGAGGTTAGTTTGACAAGTTTCTTTGAACATTTTTTTTTCACAGTAAAAGTGAAGGCTGTTGTGACATTTCGTATCTGACTGACAGCAGCTGCCATTCCCTGCAAAGAATCAAGCTACAAACTTTTCAGAGACACACTTCAGGTTTCTTCAAGGAGTAAAAACACACGTTTTTTGGTGGTGTTCATTTCAATCTGTAACAGAAATACCTGCAGAGCCTTCAACACTTGGCTTTGATTTTGAGTTTAACGGCGGCTGATGATGATAGCTTGTGTCACCATAAATCCAGCATACATCCAGTAATGCACATACACAGGTATATACATAACAGTCAGAAAGTAACATTTGGCCATTTGTGATAAGGAGAAAGTCCTCTTGGGATATTTTCAAAATTAAACACTGACATGCTTGTTTCACCCTGAATAAACATAGCTGGTAGTGTGCCGTTTGAGGCTTTTCCCTTTAAGTCTTCTGGGTAAAACTGCAAGTAGTCTGAAGTAATAGACATGGACAGCTCTCCTGGACACTCTCCCCTCTCTTTTGCCAACTGAGCCTCAGTGTACCTGACAGCTTCTTGATCCCGGTTCAGCCATTGAAAGGGAAAGAAAAAGAGCTTGGCTGGAAAACCGGTTTGGAGAAGCTGAGGGACGGGCGGGGAGAGGGCCAACTTGCCCGCAGTCAGTGCCCGGTAATTGGACAAGGTAAACACTGGCATGATGAGCTATCATCGAAGGAATGGGAGAGGAGGGAGAGGAAAAGGAGCAAATGAGGCCATGGGAGAAAATGAAAGAGACAGCTTAACAGCCCAGGTGTTCAGGCAATTACCCTTTTCTTTGTTTTCATTCATTTCCAGAGAGGTGTTGGAGGCTAAACGCAGATTTCCATTTGCTCTTGCTACTGTTGTAATCTGTGCATACCTGTGAAGTCATCTAAGCTGGGAAGAGGTGAGCCGTTTCCTTGGTGGAGATGCTGCCTCGCCAGACAATCACTCAAAATTTCCGATTCCAACATTGTGTGCACCTGAACCTGTCAAGCAGACCAAATACAGATGTTCACGCAGATGATAAAAGTAGATTGTGGTTCATTTAGTAGTTTTCACGTTGGTGAACATGTGTGGATGCCTGCCTGCATGTAGGGATGAGAGTAATTATGTTAAAGCTGCAGCTTAGTTGTCTTCCAATTGTGTTTTGCTGTTGGGCAACACAGCTCCCATGGAGCTAAACTTTAAAATGATTCACTTCGATTTTGATTACATACAGTAGATCAATTGAAAACACAGTGAGATTTCTGCAGGCGATTTTCTACTGTTCATTTTTCAAAGAAATGATGCTTGAACCAGATGCCTGGTTCTTGTTTCGTCTTGCGATCCAGCTTCTTGAGGTACAAAATCCAGAAATCTTGTTAGGCAATCTTATTCCAAGATGTTCTAACAAAGTTAAAGCAAGACAATTTACTTTATTATCCACTGCTAACAGAGGATCCCCCAGGACTTTCCAAAACAATTTATGGACAGCTCCGGGACTTGCTGAGAAGCTCGCGAAGGACACCCAGGAACCACAAAAGAGTTATGAATAATCAGCGAAAAATGCGCCCAAACCAGTGTTTATGAAGATACAAACTTCAATAGCTGTGACGCATCAGCTCAAAGAAATGTATAACCGTGAGGAGTTTATGAAGTGCATGTTTAATATTTCAAAGTCCTCTTTAGCCCCACAGGGTTTACTGCAGCGCGGGGCGTGTTAGCCATGTCACAACTTACAAGCACACGTGTTTCTGTTTAAACCAAACAAGGCATGGGAATACACAGAAAGCCCCAGTGTCACTCACGGTCCATAGAAAACAAACAAGGCCCAGATAACGCTGAACAATAGGCTCCCTATTCTGACTTCCAGGGAGTGTGTGTAATACTTTGTTTTGTTGTATTTCATCCTACTGAATCATAAACATGCTTACTCTCTCCTCCTGTTGCTCTCCATGTCTTTCTCCAAGAAACAAGGATTTTTCATGTAGAGGCAGGGTGCTACATAGAAGCCCCTGACCACCGAGAACCCCTTCCTCTGCTGAGGTTCAACAGGTTCAAAGAGGTTCTTTGAGACAGGAACCATTTTGCTCTGTCCTTATGGTTAAAGTTGGGGAACACACTTCCATTATATCTTAATTTGCATATAATTTTGTTCCTGCTATGTTGACTGTTATCAGACCCAATTAAGAAGCAATGCAAAAGTAAATGCTGTTAATACATACTGCTCTTCACATTTTTGAGATCTGATGTATCTTCCTCTCTCTCTCTCTTTCTTTACTTTGTCCTTTTCATTTTTTCCCTCATAAACAGCTGTGTGTTCAAACATCATCTGAGATATCTAATGCTTGTATTTCTGCCCTTCCAGCTTTAATCAGCATGTCATGTGCTGTGATCCTCATTCGTAACTTGAGGTATGAGCCACTTATGATCCTTACTTACATCATTTATTTGTGTGTCAATAGTTCTATTTTATTTTACATTCACCAAATAAAATTCTCCTTATTGTCACCATAAACAGTTCAGTGTATCTGTCAGTAACCAACACTGCTTCTGTACCTAAAATGTCTTCAGAGTTTCTGAAATTGACACTGATGTTGACGTCTTTGAATTTTAATTATAATTTCATAAAGTCATAAACTGTGGTTTTTATGTTGATTGTTATTCTTGTCCTGGCAGAGAAGCTTTGAAACAGCATTTGCACCATCTTAAAACTGCACTTAAACCAAGATGAGTAAACATCAGCTCCCTAACTTTGGGTTAACCACTATTTAATTTTTTATGGTTTATTTGATAGGGTCAGATACAGTATACAGCTAACCGATGCTTATAATACAATGTTTATACAAGTTTGCATCAACTGCTCCTATGAGGACTTTTATGGAACTCAGAGATTAGAACAAGAAAAGGAAGGTAAATTGAATACAGTAAGAAACACTAGATAAAAATGGAGCTTAATTCCATACAAAATCAAATTTCAGTGAACTTTTACAATATTGCTGTGCATCTGAGGTCAAGAAGCAAGATGACCTGACCATCAACTAATAAAAAAATAGTTTATAGGGGCTTTGTGGTGGCCTTGCAGTTTAAGACCCTGACCGTGCAACCGCAACGCCACTGGTTCAAGTCCAGCGGTGTACTTTTGTTATATATCACTCCCCACCATCCCTTGTCTAATAAAAGCTTAAAAGTACCACTAAATGTAATAATAACTACTTAAGAATAAAAGAAAACAGTTTATATATTTCCCTTTTGCTGGATTTGTATTTATATCCTTGCCTTTCTACCACATCTAATATAATATAATCCAACCTGATCTAGTTTTAGAGACACAGGGAGGTTTTATGAAAGATGTTGGTGACCAGAGGAGTAATAAGCATTCTGCGTAATGTCCAACATGTCAGAAGATAATTGCTGTTGTTACCTTGACCTCCCTCTCCTGAAGGCCTTTGGCAGAATGAGCTTTGACGTGCTTTCGTAACGAGCTGGGATCGGTGTAACGTTTGGTGCATCCTGGGATCTGACAGGCGTATGGCTTCTGTGAACGAACCAAGACAAGAGGAGGTGAAGAGAAGTTAGAAAAGAAAAAAAGGAGAGAAAACTGTGAGGTTATAGAGCAGACAATACTGTAAAATACTCAGAAGTGCATTTGCTTGTTCCAAAAATATAATATGACGTATAACATGTCAAAAACAAGACATTTTCTGTGGATACTTTGAAAATATATGACACAAAACAACAAATTAGACCATGAAATACACAACACATCAAAAATGTTAAATTTATTTCTTAAGAGTGTTCATTCTTTTATGATATTTTAGGTTCATGGTTGACAAAATCAGTGGTGGAAGAAGTGCTTGGATTTTTTTTTTTTTTTACCTAAATAAAAGTACAAATATAACAGTATATAAGCACTCCATTACAAAATGCACATTAAAGCATCAAAACTAAAAGTACTTATATAGTACTTCTATGTTACATCATATGATAATATAATGATATCATATATCATCATATCATGAAATGTGGTAGATCAGTCCAGTGGTTCCCAACTTAAGGGTTGGGACCCTCCAAATCTGAGGGGTCCTGCACCGGTCTGATTTTCAGCACTTGTACCCGAATCAGAACTGCGACAAGCAATAACACACCCGCCCAACTACCCACATGTATGACCAATTAGTTCTGCAACCCAACTCGACCGGCTGACACAAGATCTGGGGCCTGACACAAAACTGCAAATCCTTTAATAACCATGTGCTGTTCAAATAATTTGGTTAGACAACACGTTTAAAGTGTTTGTTTGGGGTTATTTCCTAGATGTGAAACTAAGGTAACATATTTTAAAATGATGGTAATGCAGGATGCAGTTTAAATTAATAGTTTTTACTTATTCCATCTCCACAATTTATGTGCCTGTTAGTAACGCACCTGACTGAAGTGACTCTCATATTCCAGCTGGTGCAGAAGACAGAGCCAACACTCAAAGTCAGCAGTCAGGGGGTTAAAACATTCAAGCACTGAATTAAATTATAAATATTCTTGTCTAATTTGATATATTTATCATCCATAACCCATGATCCAACCTGCATTTTCTTTTTTTCCACCATGAACCGAACCGCAGAAAATGAAGACAATACTTTTCATGCTCAGGCTGTAAGTTTCCTTTCTCACCCTGCCATTCACTCTTTGCATGCATGCTCACTCACTATCTCTGTGCACTCATATTCTGTATTAAATATTATCTTTACTTCATTCTTCTGTCTCTCCTGATTGAAATACAATTAAGAGAAAAACCAACCGGGACTCAAATGTATTTCTTTTTTTTTCTTTCTTTTTTTTGAGTTAAAGTACTTTGCTACTTTCCACCACTGGACAAAATGGTACAGACTGAACCCTCTATTATATACGATATGGTTTGTGGATATGATGTAAAACACAAAGTATAATTGTGTTTACAAATAATAGCATACGTTTAGCTGAGTCACATCCAGATGGTTTACAGGTGTGACACTGCATGCAGTAGTCCTGTGTATTATACACACAAACATTTAGGATAAATTCTGTAAATATGGTTACTCAGTGTGACATCTGTACTAACAGAGAGAGGAAGGAGATGAAGATTATGTCAACATTACACATCACGCACTTCTCAGCTGAAAATGAAGTATATTTACCTTTCGTCTGCAGGCTTAAGGAGAGGACGAGAGAAAAGAGTTAAGAGGAACAGCTCAGATAGACTTCCTCCTGTTCAGCCATAAATCAACTTATTCATAAGGTAAACTTTAGATCACCATCTACCTGCAATCAGCATATCAGTGAAAGCCGATTTATATCAGCAGGTAAATTCTAGATGGAGTAAAAAATTCAAAATAAAAGACCTTAAAATAAACATAAAGGCACATGCAGTGAAATGTGGTTATATTAACGGTAAAACCATTGAGTTCTTTCATGCACATGTTTTTGTACCATTTAACTTAAAAGTTTCTGCTGTTTTGGAGATTGTGTCTTCTGTATTTCACAATCTCATCAAAACTGTAAGTCTGGATAAGTAAATGAGCTCATTTCCATGAATCTAATTGATCACAGGTTTTTTTCCTTTTGTCATAACTGAGTGTTTCACCAGGTGGAGTGAATTAAGTAACTCATGAAAACACATGTACATTATTTAGCGGAATCTTGTAGGTTTATGTACCGGAATCTAAACACTGCAAGTCAAAAATAATTATCTACGTAGTGGTACCAAAAACTAACTAACTAAACAACTGTTTATTAAATTAAGGGCTCTAAAGATCAGAGAGTTGTCATGTACAGTATTAGGTCAAAAAGAAACAACTATCAAAGTGGTATCCAACAGTTGTTTAAAATAAGATGAGGTCAGTATGATTTGTGAGGAATAAGCATGTTCACCAAACAAAGGTCCAGGACTGATGTAAAGAAATCACTATATGAATTAAGGGAACAGTTCTAGTGTGAGAAACTGACAATGTTGAGCACACTTTTTTTTTTTTTTTTAAATGTACAAATGTATGATTAAAATGGCATTTTGGCTTTAGCGTAGTAGTGATTGTGCACATTTCTTTGCTTGTTTTTTTAAGCCCCCAAATGTTTTCCCTGTTATAATAAAGAAAGAAATAAATGCATTCAAAATTTCAGATATGCAATTACTCCAGCATAGATGGCATCAAGGCAATTACTCCTCCACACTGCCCCAAGTTTCATGCTGGCAAACGTTGGGCAATATCTTGCTCTTGTGAAACTCTTTCCGAACAATATTCCCTGGGAGGTGAAAAGGATAAAGTCTAAATTAAGTGTTAAACTGTATGCTTAGTGACTGCATGCATCGTGGTTACGTCAGCTGCTACAAATTAGGACATAAATTGACGAATATACATGTCAGTTTGCAATTACGTGTATCAAAATTATACAAACACTGAAATAAATAAACCGACAGGACGGCTTAAACAAAGCTTTCCTTTGTAAGGTTGCAAGTCAAGATGTTATGACTAAAATATAACTAACCAAAGTGACGAAGCCATCAAGGTTGAACAGGAATAAACGAAATTCAGTGTTTCACTTGTTGTTTTGAGTGGTCACTTATCATTTTACCATTGATTGGTCTTGTTGATTTCAAAGGGTTAATTGGATCTTTTGAAGTGGGGTTGTAAGGTACTTATCCACAGTCAGTGTATTACCTACAGTGGAAGTCAGTTGGCGCACCATCAGTTTGGAGAATCAGGCAGCAGGCCCGCTGTGGACGGGGTTACCGACAAAACATATTTTAGCCACCTATACAAAAGTCCCACCTAAAAAAATCATATCAGTTTATGTGTATGCTATATTTAGAATATTTTCAGTGCTTTACCTTAAAAACAGTGAAAAAACAGTAAAAACAGTGATTTAACATTGCTGAACACTGGAGCTGCTCATCTACTGTTGCTTCGAACAGTTAGTTTGTTTGTGCTGTTGTGTGACTTTGGCATAAAAAAGTGTTAGTTTGGATTCACCAAAGCCAGTAACTGCTTCCCTGTTGGAATGGGCTGTCTGACGGAAAGGTGGAGAGTTGAAAATACACTTAAACTGTTATTGATTTTTTTTTAGATAGGACTGTTTTAAAGGTGGCTAAATAAGTTTTGCTGCTGCACCCCATCCACAGCCGCTTAGCTTCTTTGTCAGCACTCCTGCTGCTTCTGCAAACTGAGGACATGCCGACAGACATCTACTGCAGTGGCTCCCAACTGGTCAAGCCACGGAATCCAGATTTGTTCAAGGTCCACATAGTTTAAAATATTCTGCGTCATACTTGCATTTGGCCACACCTTTGAGCTAGTTTGCTGTATCTGCCAGTTACCTGTCCGTTATTTACTCGCTCTACAGCAGGAAATGCCACTTTGAAATGAAAACTCTATGCCGGAAATTCACTGCACTTGAGAATAAATTGTGCTTTTTACAATCTTGACTTGTTTGTGAGTCACTTGCGATCCATTCAGAATGGACCCATGACCCACTTTTGTACCGCGACCCACCAGTTGGGAACTACTGATCTACTGTACATTGACTATGGATAAGTACCCCATACAAACGAACTTAAAAAAATCAGAACTGTCCTGTAATATTTGCTGTTTTATCTTTATCTAGAAAATCATTACAGTCTTAAAAACACAATAGAGCTAACAATTCATGCAGAAACAGGTGTGAGGCGGCTGTTTATGTTGATTTGATTTAGATTTTTCACATTATGTGAGCTGTATATTTCATTTGAGACACGTCTGCATAAGACTGACCTGATTTTGGAAACAAATCTGTCATAACACATTATTATTTATAACATTAGTAACACAATACAAGATATGCAGTCAAACTTAAATAACTTGTATAACACCAGTCTTTTCTTGGCTGGTTGTTACACTATATTCAGCAGTTATTTACATTCAGACAGTTCTGGGACACATCTGGGGCTTCGCGATGGCGCCAGATGAGTCTGATTCTTGATTTGTGACGCAACTGCGAAGCCGCTATTAGGCAGCATGAAACCACAAAAAGGAGAAAATAACTTTCTCCTCTTGTTGTAATAACACTGGAGTGCAACGCGCAGCTCCATCTCACCCATGTAATAAGAGATCTGATTTGCTGGATTACAGCTAAGTCCTCATCGCTTGTCAGCAGGAGTAAAAATAACTGTGGTTTATAGAATAAATCCACAGCAGGTATGAAGTTTCACAATCCTAAAGAATGTTCTGTACTGTATGCAGAAAGAGGTGGAAAGAGGGGAGAAGTGGCACTTTAACTTTAAGTAAACCTTTTACTACCAACAAATACTGTATCGTGAAGAAATCTGTGTATTTAAAGCCAGGAGAGTGACATTTTATTATCTACAGCCTGTTTCAGACATGGAATATGAAACGCTACTTCATCTATATGTTTACCTACTGTCATGTAGACAGATGACTTATATGTAAATGTTCATAATGGCTTAATGCAGAAATGTAATGTAATGGAAGATTCTTTACTTAAAAGAGCACTGCACCAATTTAGTACTCGATACAACAAATTGAGAGAAGATATCACCCCCCCCCCCCCCCCACACATACCATGTCAAAATCTGGCGCCTACATTACCCACAATGCAACACAACCGCCAACACTACATCATCAGAATAACTAATTACGTCTGTCAAATGAATGTATTGGAGTTGAAAGTACAGCATCTGCGTCTGAAATGTAGTGAAGCAGAAGTATATGCTATGTTGTATTCATGAGGCACTGGAATATTTGAAAAAATTAGTTTCTGACTGGAAAAATTCACGTGAATGCCCCCTCAAGTCAGAGTTGGCAAAAATTTTGGTATACAACTTGTTGACTTTGATGTCATATACACAGAAAGATAGTGGACGATAATGGATGGATTATTGAGAAATATTTTATTAATTCACATTCTGCATATTAATTCTTTGCTCCTGTGTAATTTGTAAGATGGTATAAGGTTATAAATTGTTAGTTGCTCTCCAGGTAAAGTGACCTACACTAGTTATAAAAGGTATTTATTTGCATAAACCCCGATCAAAAGTCAGGTGAAGCAATATTTTAGTGGTTTGAAGGAATGTACTGGTGCAGAAACAGCTATCAACGTGTTGTTTAAGCCCTTTTTTTGTAGTGTCCACATTGTTTTCATATTACAACTTAAAAGCTCATGAACAAACCAAAGTCTGAAGAATGACTTCCCAACTCAGGAAATAGGACCATACGAGGAGCACGCAAATGCAGCATTAGTGCCTTTCCACCACAGGAAACGAAATGACCTTCATGGAAAGAGACATAACACTGGTGCCATATTTGGCACCTGATGCTCCAATGGCAAATTTACAAGTTTGGATTTCAAGAAAGAAGAGTGTTTCTGTTTTCACTCAGGTTGCATCAGTGGTGGATTTCATAACTTGTCTTGCTTCAGAAGCCTTCATTTATGACCATCGCCCCCGCTTCCCTGAATCCCCTGATAAATTCTCCCACCAGTTTCATCATTTTAGATTATTAGATAGTGAATTCTGCTGCCTGTTTTTATACAGTTTGACAAACTGAATGACAAGATGTTGGGTTAGGACTCTAAATTTAATTCCTTAAATGTTCACCTATGTTAATCTCTTTGATGTTGACATTCACAGCGTGCAGTTGGCATGAATCTTAGAACAAAGTCTTTGCTGAAAGCTATATAGTTCTATATGAAAAAATAGCACCCTCAAATTTAGCTTAAACCTGCCTGACACGAGTAATGAAGCTGTTTGTTGCTGTAATTTTAAAATGTTGCTGTTTAAACTCCTTTCCTCTGCACCATGAAGGGGGAAAAACAGGAGGAAATTACTTAAAAACGGCCCATATGCAGTTTTGTATGGTTTGTTAAATTGTTTTTATTTTCTTTGTACATGAAAGATGTCAGTAAATGATATACTCATTACAGTGCTTAACCAGGTAGACATTTAATCTCTCTTCTTCATGTTTTACTGTGTGCTCCTGCAGTGTGTCTGAAAGGTAGCTTGTTTTTGAGGAGTTTCACTGAGACTAAGGATGTTGTGTGCAAGATGATAACTGATATAAAATGCTGTTAATTGGTTTCATACTACACATAAACTTGCGTGCTAGAATAAGGTGTTATAAGAGCTGTGTGTTACTGACCGTGTCCAGATGTGTGCGCTGGTGTTTGGCCCGGTCGCTGGAGTTGCTGAAGGCCTTGAGGCAGCCAGGATGCTGGCAGATGTAGGGTTTCTCTCCCGTGTGGCTCCTTAGGTGGATCTTCAGGTTCTCTAGACGTGAGAACGCCTTGGTGCAGCCCTCAAACTGGCAAGGGAAATAAAACAGTCTTACTGCTACATGACACATCAACCATTTGAAGAGAGTGATAGGAGTAGGACTTAAAGGCAGCTTTAAGGTCGGGGCTACAGTACTGTGTTGCCTGTCATGGTGCCCAGTAGATTTATGACCGCACAGCCTGATACCCACTGCAGGGTCTCATGAGAGGTCAAAACATCATTTAATACAAATGCTGGACCTCCGTAGGGATGCTTGCCAAACTTTTAGCACATTTTACTGTGCATTAATAAATACTGTGACGCACATTTTGCATATATTGATTGATATGCAAGGCGGTTTGAATTTGTTGGACATTTTATGTCTTTAAAATTCATATATACATATGTGGAAACATCCTAGTATTATCTCACTTCTAGTAACCAAAAGGAATTAAAGCATCAGAACTTTTATCTCCTATACAAATCATATAAAAATCCCTTCTGCACCTTTTAAAAGTATGTTGGCCCGTAACTAACAGATAATAAAATCACATTTTCGCATTACGGATGACTGATGCTGGAGTCTGATCCAACAGAAATAACTAGTAAAGAGGTAATAAATTCACACATTTTAGGTTACTCAATCATAAACTTCAGATTATGGCCTTTTCCCAAATAGCAAATTGGACTAAAACCACACACACACACAAACACACACACATCAGACTGTGGTAGGTTCTGGTAAAAGTGTTTTTTTTGGACTCGTGCCAGACAAGGAGCAAATATCGGAGTCAGCAGGCTACACACTGCAGCCCGTAAACTAAGGCTTTATAACTTTACAGGAACTGTGTCACATTCAATCTCACAGACTTAAAATGACCAGTGTTTTCATTTCTGGCATGTAAGTCAGAGTTTAAATGGAAATGTTTCTCAAGGTTTGATTTAAACCTCCTGGAGCACCAACAGGGAATTAAAGAACATTGAGGCGATCACAGGAGAGAATTTTTAACATTTTTTCCACCATTCAGAACTTTGTGAATTCACCCAATGTGGTAAAACCAGCACATTCTGGATGTTGTGAATGTGTTTTCAATGTTTTCATCTATTAAATAGATGAAAGTAAGTGTCATCTACTAACAAAGACAATAACAAAGAAACTAAATGAACACACATTGTGTTTGTTGGACAATAACATGACATTTAAATAAGATTAATGCTTCCTGTATTTTATAGTTTAAAATGATTTAATTCTGGTACAGATTTGTTTAGGAAAAGTTTTGGAAACATATCTTCAAATGAAATCCTGATCTGAAACTTAAACTAAAATACAAGAATAAAGTGTCTCTTCTCTTTTAAACTAATCCAGAGGAAAATATGGAAACTGTTTTTCTACCCAGTAATCATTCCAGGGTTTTATTAGGTCTCGCTAATGAGTCAGTAAATGTCAGTCACCTCATTTAGTTAAAAAGTCTTTGCGTATAAAAAACATCATGGTGATTAATTGATTCAAGGCTTGAAATCGCCTTGACGAACAACAGAAAACAAAAACAGAAATTAAAAGAATGAAAAACAGACAAAAATAATCAAACAGTCAAACTCATAAGAATACAAATGTACAGATATTAGCACGTATATACTATAGATCAAGACCCATCATGTGATGAGGACATAACATGTTAAACATTTTGCAGCTTTATGTGAACTGAGTTGTGGGGACAAACTTAAGCACATTAGTTTGAGTTGTTTGAAAGGCTGAAAGACGTAATGCCTCTTCAGTCCTGCTTGTCAATTTACCCCACGGCTTCTGTCATTTAATATTATACGACAAAAAAATCAAACAAATGTAACCCCACTCTTACTAATATGGCTCCTAAGTAAAAACAGATTTCTTAAGTCTTTGACAGAGTAGAAATATGAGCACAGCTTAATTTAGGCTCCGTTACAGTTGATGTACTTTATTTCCTCATCGTGTTCAGTGTGTAGATTTACAGTACAGTGTGTTTCTTTTACCAGAAGATTAATGTTTCCTCTATTTCTACACAAAAATGGGGAGCTGAAAACAAAGTCTAAAAGTTAAAGAAACTACACATCAACCTTAACTCTGTCTGAAATTTACAGTGATTAAAGTTTATCTTGCAACTTTAGATTTAGTTTATTTCTTAAAATCAGTTACTGTTATTTGTCATGCTTCCCATTAATCTAATTTAATATTTTCATTAGTTAATGCGTGTACGTAAAGAATAAAAGGCTGGTAATATTCTATCTTTTTGGCATTGTCAACTACATGTGTTAGTCCATCTCTCATTACTTTCTGATTTCCTGTCTGGGGCTCTCAGCTCAAAGAACATATATCAAATTACCATGACGTCATGCTAACAATTGTCACTCCCCGGTAGACAGCGGGCAATTGATTTCAATGGCGAAATGTGAAATCTGCAAATTTGTTCATTTCTACTGTCATTTTCATCACAGTTTTCAACTGTAACATTTAAAGATGTATTGTTAAACATGGTGGTCCGAACTATCTGACCTTTCTGCTGTGCTTATTTTATGTACTGCGTCTTTGATAAACGAAATAGCTTTGCAATGTATTGCAGTGGACGGGGGCTCCAGCAAAACACATTTAAGCCACCTAAAAAAAGATTACTATCAGTTCAAGTTCACACTATGTTTGGAATATTTTCACCACTTTACCTTACAAACTAACTGATCGAGGCAGCAATAGTCCAGCAACTCCCGTGTTCTGTGAAGTAAAATCATTGTATTTGTCAAAGGAGTCTGGTGGCTTTGACCTAACAGCTTCAGTTCCCTGATGAAAAGGGCTGTCTGACAGCTAGGCTAAGTGGTGCAAATATTCTAAATATAGCATTCACTTAAACTTAGGTGCCTAAAAAAACTAACCAATTGAGGCAGTGTTGTTGTGGGGTTTTCTACCCGGAAGTTATTGTAAACAAACATTGTGATTCAGTCTATTGGTTCCTACTTCAGACATGCATTTTAAAAAACTGTTTCATTAAAAAAAAAAAAAAAAAGGAGCCAGTAATTTACTGAAACACGTGGGCACTGTAGTTTTTAGAAAACATTACTGAAACAGGAGAAGATGGTGCATTTGTTGGGGACTATTTTCGGCTGCTGATTTACACACATTTGGTGCTTTAGTGACTATTTTTGGCAGCAAGTCATTCAAATGAAATGTCAAAAATGTTATTTATAAGCAGCCTTTTGAATGACACATAGGAGATTGGCAGGATGACATTTGTCTACAGCTGCCATAACATTAACAAATCACCATTGAAAAATAAATCAGTTCTATGTGACAAAGCTCTGGTTAAGATCTGGTTAGGTTTAGGTACAAAAACAACTTGGCTAGATTTAAGGGAAGACCATGGTTTGGGTTAAAATGACTACTTTACTACGGTTACGGGAGCGTCCTCATCATGGTGACACTAATTGACACTGGGTTAAAGTTAGGAGACGATCGTGGTCGTGCTTTAAAAAACTCAACATGGACTGTCGGTGGGAAACGGGAAACAAACTGCAGTCTTTTGTGTAAAAGGCCAACATTTTGTTGACCCATCCAACCACCTCAACCTTCTTTGCTCTGTAATAATGTCACCTGACTTCTTCCTTTGCATCCATTATAATTATTACTACGGCTGCAAGAGGACTTTGTAACTTGAATGTAAACATATGTTGTTATGAGGACACTTCCTGAAACGACTGATGCTGTCGTTTTTCTTGGGAGGACAGCCGCAACAGTCTAAACTATACACAGACAATACTTGTTGGGTCACTGTTGGGTTTGGTCTTTTAATGGGATTTGTTGACAGTAAGGAAAAAAACAGAAAATCACCAGACTTATTCTTTAAATTAATGTCATGTCAGCACCATAAATTATGAGTGATGACTCTGCCACGGTGGATTTAAAATCGCTTTGGGAACTGGTGTTTACAGCCTGAGGAACACCTGTCTGATCTGAGTCTTGACGTTACGAGCTGGTAAATGAGGCTGAATTCATTAACACACACTGACTACATTCATATGAGGGATTCATTTTTCCATTGGTGCACCAGGAATGACTTAATTTACATGTTTTGGCCTGAGCGCTTTATAAAAATAAAATGACGTTATTCATGTAGTTCAAGTGTGACTGACATTTTTTGGGGGTTGATGTTGATTTAATTTTATTAATCTGTTTGCAGGTGACTCTCCACAGTAATATATTTACAAGCTAGCAACAGATTAGGTCATTTAAATGAACTAATTCACTAAAGTAGGAAGCGTGCCGCTGAGTGAAGATTTCTGAATGAATTATTAATCGGAGTCTCAGGTTGATGACAGCAGTGGAGTCGCTGGGGAGTTATGGAGAGAGTTACTCAGTCTCAGAGACAGGGATTTGGAGACAAACTGAAGGTCATCATGAGACAAATGTATTCAAGCAGCAAAATTTGTGTTTCAAAAAATGACTCATGACAGAGGAGATGCTGTCCTGGAGCTCAAAGGCCACCGTTGTGATGGTCGGTGCAGAAACCTCACAGTCTCTGTCTTTTCTTAAACCTAATGTAGTGTGTTTTTGTCTTTATCTTAAATGTGTGTCTAGATTTTTTCAAAATGCATTTGCTTCCTCTGTCTTATTCTGTCTTTTTCAGTTCATCCTTTAAACAGCCTGCACGTTTCACAAGACAAGTTGCTCAGACACATGAAAAGGCAGGAAATGCTCAGAGAGTTTTCTCTGTGGGAACACACAGTTGTCAGAAAAGTTATTTAGGGAATTTTTTTTTATCAGTTTTAAATGTTGCAGAGAGTAATGAAACAAAAAGTGGCAGCCACAGTGATCCGTTAGATGAGGAATTGAAGCAACTCCTCAGCGATGTAACCAACTTTACTGACCTTTTCATTTTTTTATTAATCTGCTGATTATCTTTCTTTTTTTTTTAATCAATTAACCTTTAAATGTTATGAAACTGTGAAAATGATGGATTCATAATTTATCAGAGCCCACAGTGACATATCTTCAATTTGCTTGTTTTGTCCAACCAACAATTAGACTGTCAACTTACAGTCAAATGTGACAAAATAAAGTAGTGCTGTACTTGACTCAGAATTATGACAGTTGAATAAGATTTGGCTGTTCAATACAAATATTTAACTATTTGTTCCTTTTTCTCCATAGAGAGAGAAATGTACTTGTGGTGTAAACAGCTAGGTGACTGCTGCTGTGCGGCTGAAGGACAATTAACAAAACGGGGCACTTCTGCATCCAGTGTGAACCCAGCGTGACCATACAAAGCCTCTCTGATGATTCAAATCTTTGACTTTCTGGGGGCAGCCCTGAAGAAAAGCAACAAATCCTCAAATCTGAAAAGCCAAAACTTGAAAATCCTTGGCATTGGCAATGATAACGATTGCTGTTGCTCATGACATGATGCAAAAGGCTAATTGTTAGCAGGTTTTTTTATTAAGACAATAAGAGTTTGCTGTTTACACCATTTTCTCTTTTGTTATATTTCTGACAAAGTAGCACAAAAAAGTATTCGCTGCCCGGTGAATTCTGGGACTTGTAGTATTAAACTGCACTTGCTGTTACCATTGTAACCAGAGGTTAAACCAAATCAACAAGAAACTGAAGGACTGAAACGTTATGTGCATGTTTCAGAGGACAACACTTTTCTCTGTTGAAACACACAGTAGCTTCTACAGGAAGGAATGATTGATCAGTTTAATACATAATTACTTAGTAACTATAAATTAATTGCATTTGTCAGAATAACCACAGGGCGATCAGCAGGTTTTTGGATACTCAGCGCAGCAGACACATCCTCCATTCATTCAATACTGCCACGTTTCTTCCTCTGGCATGCATGAGTAAGGGAAACCTGTCGTGGGGACAGGAAACCGTTTGATCATCTCTCTGTCTAACAGACTCTTGATCATCGGCTGCACAGTCTGAGAGAAGTCCAGACGTACTGTAAGCAGGTTAATGCCTCTCAAACCCTCTTAAACCTCTAAATGGCCCATTTGAACACAACTTAAAGTTGGAAAGTATGAGATTTGTTTTGACTGACTGAAAAAGGTTGCAACAGTGGTGGTGGTGGAGCTGAGTTGATGAGGTTGCCAGTTTGATTCCTGCATATTTTGGGTAAATCACGGATGAAGTCAATAAAAAGCCCTCCCTAAACTTGGCTGACAGTGTGCACCCCAGTATATAATTAATTTCTTCTTTTTTTACAGTGTTTGTCACGGCCATTTATACAAATAGATTATAGCTTGTGCATTTCGCTGAATACCTTAAAGTTTCTGTGTGTACCTTTTTACATTTTTACATCATTTGTGGGAAAATCCAAAGGATGTGAAGACAATTTGCCTCTCTTCATCTCTGAACAGTGCCAACAGTGTGCAACACTAGCTATCCTTAGCTTAGAAACCAAGCCTGCCTATGTTAACAAACAACCTGCACCCACACATGCTGTGTTTTTGTTATATATATCTTGCGGCGGCAGCCCAGAGACTGACCTTCAGTTAATGCCCTGCAGCAAGTTGAATTCAGCCAGTACAAGACCAACGCAGTGGATCCCAGACTGCCTCAACTCCCTGCCAATTTAGCAGACTTTCTGTTGCTGCCGTTACGCAGTTTAGATGCCGTGGCCAGTGTAAAAAAAATAACACCTGTTTTTTTCCTCTGGTTCTGTAGTAATCAAAAATCTGTTTATTATGATCAGCCAGTCAAAAGCAAACAGACTCACCATGCATTTATTGGGTTTTTCCCCAGAGTGGACCCTCATGTGAATGAGCAGCTTGTAGCGAGCGTTGAAGGGTTTGTGACGTCGCACGCAGCCGGCCCAGAAACAGGAAAACTCTTCCCCTTTGCGCTGGTCGATGTGCACCTTCTCGATGTGCCTCACCAGCTCCTCCTGGCTGCTGTAAGTGGCACTACAGTCAATCCAGTGACAGGGCTGGTCCAGTTGGTCCACTGTGGGGTCCTGGCCTACAGGTCCATTAAGCCTTGGGAAATGAAGCGGGGTGCTGGCCTGACCTTGGAGGGGCTGGCCAACATGGAACAGCTCCCCCTGCTGGTTGTTGATTTGAAACGTTTCCCTCTTACAGGGCGAAAAATCATCTGCAGGCTCTTGTTTTATTGAGTGATACTCTTCCTGAACCTTTCCTTGTAGATTAGGAGTCTTGTTGCTATCAGGTGCATCAGAAGGAGGCAAGGAAGAAGCAAAAAATAAAGTTGAGGAGGAGGAGGAGGAGGAAAGAGAGGATGGTGGAGAGCCAAACGGAGACGATGTGGCACAGCTGGTGAGCATATACGATAAAGGGAGGGAGGGTTGGGGGTAACAACTGAACCTCTGGGTGTTGTTTTTGGGATCTGTGTGTGCAGTGGTGGCAAAGTCCTCCATAGTCTTTTCTATGTGGGATCCAGCTGTCTTACAGCTGAGCAGAGAAGTGAGGTCCCGGCCCAGTGAGGACAGGGACAAGGATGTCCTTGGAAGACAGCACACGCCCAGGCCACCTGAATGTATGGAGGACTGACAAAAGCCACCAGAAGACAGCGGTGCTTGAAGGTCCTCAGCATCCTCAAACACACTTCCAAAACCAGGAAGAGTTAGCTGGACGTCTGGAGGCCCAAGATCAGGGGGCCACATCCTGGCCCCCTGCTCACTGGCTTCCACCAAGTGATCCCTTTAGGAAAAATCGCTGATACTGATTCTCTTGGAGCAACTTTAGGTATCCATTGGAGATAAAACCATCTACAACATCTTTCAGTTCTTAAATGTAATCAGATTAGGTTTATTTTCAGTGGTTGGCATCTTCTCATTCAGCATGTGTAATCTTCTGTCATTTGTTCCAAACTGCTGCGTGGTCAGTCATCTCTCGTGCTGCACTGTGGGAGACAGAAACCAAACCCAGATGAGTCATCTTAAAAGGCAAACAATACGAATACAAAACACTTTGTGAAACATATCACATAACAGCTTTGAGAACCAGCGGGTGAAGAAGTAACTAGATCCTTTACTTACGTAAATGAACAGATACAAAAATTTAAAACCAGTAAGTCCTGCAATTAAAATCCTACTTCAGTAAACATACAGAAGTATTTTCAGTATAATGAACTTAAAGTATCTAAAGTAAAAGTAAACATGGGTCTATGCCTCTGCAAACCAGACAAGTTGCAGTTACAGTCTACACCCATATCTATGAAAACATGGATGCATCAGACAATCTTCCCCTCTGGCAGCACAGAAGATCTACACAATCAGCACAGTTTCAAGGTGGACACCCAAGATGAGTGTCACCAATTCAGTGTCTGACCAAATATTCCCCTTCTATGATGTTAATTAATAGCCAGAAAAGTTTTTTTTGCAGAACAATATAAAGTGAAATTAACCTTTGACCTATTTGATAGAAACACTTCATCACTTAATCTTGTTAGACATTTGTGTGAAACTTAGTTAGTAACTAGCATATGAATTCTTAAATTAATGGCCAAAACATGTTTTGTGAGGTCACAGTTACCTTGATTTTTGACCTTTGACCACCAAATTCTAATCAGTCGAGTCCAGGTGGATGTTTTGCCAAATTTGAGGAAATTCCCTCAAGGCCTTCACAAAAATGCAACGGACAAGGTCAAAGTGACCTTGAACTTTGACCAATAAAATCTAATCAGTTCTTTCTTGACTCAAAGTGGAAGCTTGTGCTAATTTCTTTTAAAATTCCCTCAGTGTTCTTATCACATTTACATGAATTAGACAGACAAGTCCAAGTGGACATTTGTGCCAAATTTGAAGAAATTCCCTCAAGATGCTCTTGAGATATTTCACAAAAATGGGGTCGACAACCGGAAAACATAATGCTATTGCTGGCATGGAGGCTTACAAATGGCTCCTGTGGCTGTTGTAGCTGGTCAAGGTGGAGCTAGTTTTCACCTCTGTACATAAAGTTAGGTGGTTCAGTCCAGTGGTTTCCAACCTAGGGGTACTTGAACCTAAGCTATATTTTCTAGTGTGTAGGATGCAGTGGCATCTAGTGGTGAGGTTGCAGACTGCAACCAACTGAAACCTCTCCTGTGTGCCAAGCTTGCATGTGTAAAACTACAGTGGCCAATGCAAAATTGCAAATGCCCCTACCTCGAGCCAGTGTTTGATTGGTCTGTTCTGGACTTTTGTAGAAAACAAATTGTGGACTCTGTGGAAGAGGACCATGTGTAGATATAAATGGCTCATTCTAAGGTAACCAAAACACAACAATTCTTATTTTCAGGTGATTATACACTAATGAAACATAGTTATGAATATTGTGTATCATTTCTGCCAATAGATGCCCCTAAATCCTACAAACCGGACCTTTAATAAATAATCTAAATACCTCTCACACCCCTTCCTCTGGAGCCACAGAAGGGTTTATACAACTTTTTTTCACAATCCAGTAGTACTTCCACAACAGCTGTAAATAGTTTGGTGTGTAAAATCCCCCTTTAAGCACGGTACATAATATATTCCACCACTTAAATGAACTAATATCAGTTAACTCACGCAGGATTTGCTCATTGTAATGCTGCAAAGCTATGACTCAGTTGCTGCGACAACTTGTCATGCCATTTGAAAGGGCTGAAACATAAAACCCAAAATGTGTCACACTCTGAAAGTTACTCCCTCATGTCCAGCCAGCGGCAACTGTGTTCAATCATTGACAACAAATGGACCAAGGTGACCAGCAGAGAATGTCCCAGATGAAGTGAAACCAAAACAAACAGTGTGTCCGACCTTCATGTCAGCAGGCTTCAATCAAACAGCTCTGAGTGCGACGCTACAGCGAGTGTATATTTGGTTTCCTTTGAGCTGCTGTAACAGTCGGGGTTGATTCATTTCTGCAGGCATTAAGGCCACCCTTGCAGCAAACAGCCAGGCGTTGTGTGGCAGCCGATTGCCTGGAACCTGGTCCAGATGCTTGTTAACAGAGGACGAGTAATGGACCACATCTCTCTGCTAGCTAGTGCTGCAGGACAGGGAGGCTGGAAAATCATGGGTCAAACAGAAGTTCCTCCACCCCTGTCACATATACAGTAGCTCTTCTGTGCAATAGTCCTTGAGTGTTTATTAGAAAAGACTTCAGTTCCACTGTTTTCTGCCATCTGCCAGATATTGATGATCTAATTTACAACAGGATCCCTGCCACGTGTAATTAGTCATCGGAAAGATTCAATGGGATGGTTATTTTACGAGCCAGAAACCGACACAGCTAAGATGATGAGTAAGTTCACTTCTGTAGTTAAATTAGCTGACGAAGGAGTCACTAAGTGTAGGTTCATGCCCATAGTTTCCTGGTATAGTCTGGTTTACAGTTTTATGATTCTTCCCGTAAATCGCTGGAGTTCCCCCCCCCCCAACCAGAGTCATGTAGCAGAGCAGTCATGGGAACTGTGGTTGAATCTTAATTAGAGACAATGCGATGTGTCTGTGTGTCAACAAGTTGAACAGGATAAATGATTCTTGTGTAGCAGAAGTGGTTTGGTGTGTTTGAAACATGATAATTGTAACCTAGTACCTGTTGGCTAGGAGAGCTAAAACCAATATTAGAGTTTTGAGGGCAAACTGGGATTTCAGATACAAACAAAACATCAAGATGATAGTCTCACAGCGAAGAACACATCTGATAACTAATCTGTAACTGGCTCTTTTAGCATCAAACCACGACTCATGTAAACATCCACTCTGTCATACATCCAACAAAGTGAAAACCAGCAGCAGATATAGCAAAAAGGGGATTTTATTTTAGCAGTGTCTGATCACAAACCACTTTGGTGCTAATCCAGAAAGAAGAGTCAGACAGTAAAACTAAGAAAAGTGTCCCACAAAGCCTCAACTGAGCCAGCAAACTTTATAAAATAGCAGGCTCATCTCATGTGGTGTCTTTAAAAGACTCACTCGCTGAGGTTAGCTAAACACAGCTGTGGCATTTCAGGACAAGCAAATGTGTACTTGTCTCAACAATAAGCACTTTGGTTCTTGAATTACAAACTTTTTTGTGCTTTTTGGTTCAAGAGAAACATGGGAAAAAGATCCTTATTGGAGAGGGAAGATGTGAACACACAGGGTAAACAAAATCCAGTTTCCTAATCCTATTCTTCCACAATAATCCTTGACAGTGTTACAGAGGTGTCAGAGTGGACAGGCACTGACACAGACACATGCATTATCATCGAATCCTGCAGCTGAACTTGCATCAATACTGGCAAATATGTCTGTCATCTAGTTTTATGCACAGACACCGTATCTCATTGTCTGTGCAAAGAAGTGGAGTTGATAGTTCACCAGATGCATAAACTCTAATCCACTGGGAAAACCAGCAAGTTTTATTTATTCATTTATTTTTTAGATTCATTGTTTTTGAATTCATGACTAAGACCTTCCCAACACAATTGGACACCTGTGTTTATCATGCGTCTCGAGCTGACCACGTGTGTTCAGGTATTGTTAATGCCTACATCACATCCGCTAGAAGGTCAAAGGGCCCATCAGTCACATTAATGATTAGGTCGGTTCAGCTGGAGATATCGCAGAATCGTCAGCAGAATCCAACACTTCTTCCATAGGGCAAAATCATAGATGGTCAGGCAACAATTTGTCCAGCTCATCGTAAACTGGCCAAATTTTACAGCAATGGCACACTGTCAGCAAAACAACCACGTGTCCTCCACTGTATTTTCCTATTACATCCTTGTGGGGGACACAATGTGTCTTGGTGGTCTTGTGATCCCATTGCCGTATTTTAAACAGGGTGTTAACAGGGTCTATGACAAAATGTTTATACGCCTGAGAACTTACATACAGTGGTGGAAAATTAATGTCAGTCTGACCACAGAGCAGCTGGCCATTTCTGCTACTCCCTGCTTTTAAAGCTGTACCAATTTATATTTCTATGTTACCAATGGATCATATTACTTTGTGAAGGTGTTACTCATGGTGACCCAGCAGCAACCTCTGGGGCTGTGCCAATGTGAAGGTGCAGTTCCTTGAATGGCCACTTGAGGCTGGCTCCAAAACAGAGAAATCCCAATAGACCCCCATGTTAAAAAACTTTACAGCTTAATTAAACCTGTTTACCACCTGGTACAGGAAACGATTCTAGTCTCTATAGCTTATTTCCCCGTTCATAACAACTGTACAGGGGATGAACTTTTATATAACTCAGCTGTTGACATTTTATCGAGGCCTAAAGTTACACATTTTTAAGGATGGGGCCGCTTGAGTGACAGGCTGTCTGCAAGGCGTTGATACAAACTATGAGTCAGATCCAAGGCTCGCTCCATCCAAATATGGTCACTTCTGGCTCCAAAAAACCAAGATGGCGACCGATGAAATGCCGAACTAGAGGCTTCAAAACTGGAGCCCACAAACCAATGGGTAATGTCACGGTAGCTACGTCCATTATTTTATCAATCATATGGTGGTGACTAATGGTAATAGGTGATAACATGTCAGTGTTGTAAACAGCTTGTTCTGCTGCCCCCAAGTGGCCAAAAACTTTCAGAAATAAAACATATTAAAGCTCCTTTTCAAATGTTTTAATTATTCTAAAAGGGAGTTAAGCAACATTAATCATGTGTTTTGTATTTTAAATCTAGGAGGGGGCATTGCAAATTAGC